ATTTTGTAACAGAGTAGTAGATATTCTAAATTTTGTCTTTTATGGATGTGACTATAAATGAGAAATGATTGTTTCTATTGTCATACTTTTATTTCAGTTCTGTGCTATGCCTCATGTTATGAAAGGTAAATCTAAGAACTTCTTTTTAACAATAAAGAGGTGATTTTTAATAGTCAACATGTGTCTTTGGCTACTTAACAGGAGGATAAAGAGCTGTATATAAACCATGTGTATTTTAAACCAATGGTTGCTATTTAAATGGGTCCTTACCACCTAGTTTTTCCATAGTAGTTTTCCTGTTCACCTAGTTCTCCTATTCAAATACCTGTATTCAATTGGTGCTGCCCCTTTGAGCCGTTCCACTCATGCCTTAATTCTCTTATCCCCTTTTGTTTTCTGTTTGCTCCATCTTTTCCTTTCCCAGGGCATGTCATCTTTTTTTTTTCTTTCCATTTTCCCACTTCCACTCCTAGAATTTTGGGCCATTCAGCTTTGTTACATTCCATGATTTCAGATTAAGGTGGGTTCCCAGAGCTTGAGAGTTTCTTTATTCTTCCCTCGTTGACAGTCTTCATTGTCCCCACTGGTTTATTGCCATCTTTCACATGGGATGCCCTAAGCCCTCTCTATTCCTTCCACACTCTCATCCAGATGTTTTTTACTTGGACAAGACGATCAAAGAGGTTGATTATCAGTTGTTTCTAGCTTCTTATTGTTATACCTTAGTTTGGTTTTTGTGTGTATGTGGTTTGTGTGTCTGTGTGTGTGTGTGTGTGTGTGTGTGTGTATCTTCCTCTCAGCCTTCTGACATGCCTATCTCTGAGGCTAACCCCCTGAGAGTATTTTATTGTATGGGTAAAACATGACTTGTTCAGCCAGTTTCCTTAAAATGAGCTTAGGTCATTTCTAGGTTGGTTGGTTTGTTTTTTGTATGAATACAGTTTTGAAATGAACACCCTTGGACAACTATTTTGCCCCCTTGTAAGAGTACAGGCAGTACTATCTTTGCATAATTCTCTGACATGTACAATTTTAGTTACCATAGTTTTATTAAATAAAACCAGTTCCCAACAACATAGTTCAAATTTCATTTACCAAGGTATATTAACTGTGAGTAATTGCGTAAAGTACAAACTTTGCTGCTAGCTCATCAGTCCACAAATTACTGTGCAAACAGCAAGTGCAAATTTTGGTCAGTTACCAGTTGCATCATTTCTTTCAAAGTCTTATCAGTGAATAGCCCTTAGGTACCATTTAGTCATTTCATGCACAGACAGCAAAGCATGTGGTTGTGTTGTTGCTTTGTCTCGGAGGTGAACTTAATGACATTTTCTAAAAGTGGATCACTGAAAAAGTAAATGGACTGATAATGAAAGTGTAGTAAAGAAAAGAAAAAATAAGAATGCTGAAAGTGAAATTGACGTCAAATGTAAATGGATTTGTGGAAGAAACAGCTAACCATAGGAATGCTAATACTGCCATGATGCAATAGACTCCATATATGAAGCCAGCGGAAATCTAGTGAAGCTGAATTTTTTGACATGAGGAGAGTAGTTGTGAGAAAAAGAGTGAAGATATCCCAGAGGAAGTGACACTGGCACAAAACTTCCTCTTGGAGACATTTCATAATGTTGAAAGTGCAAAGGTTACATTAAAACATTGGAAACTGATCTAAACTTAGAAAGGAATACGGAATATGACAATTCTCCAAGGCAGAGAAAATATTCTCACTCTGTATTGTGAGTTATGTGATAATGAGAAGAAGGTAAATACCGTTTGGAGTATTCTAAATAAGTTTTACAGATAAATACAATTTCAATTCTTCATGTTTTAAGTTTTAAATTATAATAAAATATAGATGTTTTACTGTGTTTTATTTTCTTGTACATTTATAATTGACAGTAAAACAGTTTTTTGTTTGTTTTGTTTTGTTTTGTTTTGTTTTGTTTTTTGAGCATCTCGCTCTGTTGCCCGGGCTGGAGTATAGTGGCCTGATCTCTGCTCACTGCAACCTCTGTCTCCCTGGTTCAAGTGATTCTCCTGTGTGAGCCTCCCAAGCAGCTGGGTTTATAGGCGGGCACCACCATGCTGGGCTAATTTTTTGTATTTTTAGTGGAGATGGGGTTTTACCATGTTGACCAGGCTGGTCTCGAACTTCTGGCCTCAAGTGATCCACCTCTTTCAGCCTCCCAGAGTGCTGGGATTACAGGCATAAGCCAACTCTCCTGGTGTGTTTGATGGACCTTTTTAGACATTGTCTTTTCATAGAGTTGTGTTGCAACAGGAGAAGCCTCGAGAAACAGACCTCTCAAACACCTAACTGGGAAGGAAGGGGTGATTTATTTGGCCAGGAGCAAGGTGGCATAGTTGCTTAACAGTCAAGCTTGTTCAACAAAGGAAACCTCTTATATAGGCTTATAACTCTAGATATTACATGTGAAAGGGTCTTGGGTTTACAGTTTTAGAAATTGCATGTGAAAGGGTCTTGGCCTTACAGCTCTAGAATTTACATGTGAAAGGGTCTTGGGCTTAGGAGTAGGCTTGGGGTATAGTGACTTTGGTGGGGGTTTGAGCCTGTGTAAGTAAACAATGCCTTCTGGAAAGATTCCTCCACACCATGCCTGCCACCTATAGGAGGGTGATTAGGGTGGCCCAGTCTGCCAGCCTTTACTTCCATTGAAATGCAGTGTGGAAGTCAAGCGGGGGATGGTCTTAGATGCTTAAGGGCGATTAAGGGTCTCCTCCCTCAATGTCAGTTTATACCACCATCAGAGGTTTAGGAAAATCCATACTGTTCTCTTCTGATACCTTGTTCTGCTTATTTGCCCATGTTAACTTACTTGTTCAAGCTCTTCCTCTGATACCTCCTTGTTTCTTGTTTAATGAACAAAAACACATGTTTTTGTATCCTTAAAAAAAGGCTAACCTTTTGCTCTCTTTGCAAAAATGCTTGCTTTCCTTTATCCATTTTATTTTGAAGTAAGTTAGAACGGCTGCCTCATTTTTCTTACCATTCACTTCCTCTTAAGTCTCTGCAGTCACTTGACAGTAGGCACCTTGAGAGCAGATGGCATGTTTCCAGTATGTTGTCCGTGCTTGATATTCTTCATTTGATGGAATGAATTCATAAAAGCCTCCACGCATCATCCACTTGGTCCTATTCACCCATTCCTCCCGTCTCTATGATCTCTTCAACTTACCTTTCCAGAAATGCTACAACAGCTTTCCATACTTCCACCCTTCGTCCATTCCCCTTTGCATTTTCTTGGTTCCTGCTAGGATAGGCTGCTCATTATCCATCTGCCACCTTCCACATGCCTGCCTTCTTGGAACCCTTCTTTATGCTGTGCTTTCTCCTCGAAGCTTGCTGTGTTTTGTCCTCTCTTCCCTTCCTCCAATTCTGCCTGGCAACATCATTTTCCCCCATTCAGGGCTATGCTAAGGGCCTGCTCCAGGAAATGCTTTGTGATCTCCCTGACCCCAGCCACCCCAACCTTTCCCCTTCTTTAAACAACTGTAGAACTTTGCAGCTGGTTTGTGGGGTCTACCAAATATGGGCCACTGATGCTGCTGTTTTTAACTTCTCTGACCCAAATAGAAACTCCTTGAGCTAGCTCTTATTTTTTCCTTCAGCGTATAACAGTCTTTGCGCATCATTGGTACTCAATTAATATTTTATTGAAGTGCCTTGTAATCTGACATTCCAGGGAGCTTTCAAGGAAACTTGTCGCACTGAAAAAAATTGAGGAATGTTTTGTGGGTTATTCCGTTCCTTTGTCTTCTAACTCATAGAAGTTCTGGCATGGTTCTTCGGGGTTGTAGCGTGTGTCCACTTATTTTAAAATGTCAAAGGCCAGAAGAGGGAGAATGAGAAAGTGGCAAAGTGTTAGCACTGGAAAGATGTTTACAGATCATGTAATCCAACCCTTAATTTTTTTTTTTTTTTTTTTTTTGAGACGGAGTTTCACTCTTGTTGCCCAGGCTGGAGTGCAATGGCGCGATCTTGGCTCACCGCAACCTCCGCCTCCTGGGTTCAGGCAATTCTCCTGCCTCAGCCTCCTGAGTAGCTGGGATTACAGGCATGAGCCACCATGCCCAGCTGATTTTTTGTATTTTTAGTAGAGACGGGGTTTCACTATGTTGACCAGGATGGTCTCGATCTCTTGACCTCGTGATCCACCCGCCTCGGCCTCCCAAAGTGCTGGGATTACAGGCGCCCTTAAATTTTATAGCTGAATAAACTGGTGTCTGGAAAGCTTAAGCGTCCTGCCTGAAATCACACAACAAGTGTGTTGAACATTTGGTCTGGGAGGTTGTCAGCTGACCCTCTTCAGGTCTTGTTCCCACAGATGCCACAGTACGTGTGAGGATGTTATGTTTGGGTTTGTGTAGAACTGTTAAAAGAGGCATATAATAATAGTCTCACATATTGCCTTTAATGGATTAATAAATAGGAAATTCAGACTCTAAATAGGATTTTCTCTCTCTTTCCCTTAATTATAATTTTTCTGACTAATTTATTTATACTAACTTGGAGAGTTTCTAATTACATTAACATTGGATGGTTTAGAATGGTTGGTTGACATTTGAGAAAACTTTTTATTGAAGTATAAAATGCTTTTCAAGAATGTATACAAATCACAAGTGTATAATTGGAATTTTCAAAAAGCGAACACATCTACGTGATTAACACCCAGATTGAAAAAAAGAACAGCACCAACAAGTTTAGAAGCATTTAAAGCAATAAAACATTTAGAGAAATAGAAGGATTTTGAAACTATATAAGGCCAGGCACAGTGGCTCTTGCCTATAATCCCAGCACTTTGGGAGGCTGAATCAGGAAGATCACTTGATGCTAGGGGTTCAAGGTTACAGTGAACTATAATCGTGCCACTGTACCCTAGCCTGGGCAACAGAGTAAGATTCTATCTCTAAAAATATAAAATAAATAAAATATTTAAAAAAAATAAACCATATAATTTTCTCTTTTCTCCCTACAGGTATTGTCAGTATGTGTGTTAACAACAATACTTGGTTGTATATTTGGGCTGAAACCAAGCTGTGCCAAAGAAGGTAATTAATCGTGTGTGTGTGTGTATGTGTGTGTGTGTGTGTGTGTGTGTGTGCGCGCGCGCACAGTCTTATTAAGAATGTGATTAGAGGTAAACATCATCTCCTATTCCTATGGGTACTCCATAGATACTATAAATTCAATGCTGGTTTGGGCTTTCTTCTTGAAGCTTTTGTATTAGCCATATAAAATTCTACCTACAAAACTTATGAACCATTATCACAAAACAAGGAGGAGGGGCTATGACCAACCAACAAACAAACATCTTGAAATAATAAAAAAAATTAAGAATGAATAAGCAGGCATGGCTGGGTGTTTGGATGATGTGGCCCTGGAGCTCTTGCTCCCTGACTTCCTTCAGGGACTTGGAGGATGTTCTTTACCCTTCTTTTCCCCTAACGAGTTAGTTGCTGAAGCAGCCCGGTAGGTTACTAGGTGACCAGTTATTACCCCTGGGCAACTAGAAAGTTATTAGTACATGCTTTCAAGGTTTTTAAAATTGCAGATACTGGTTATTTGAAAGCCATAGTAATGTTTTTTTAAATTCTAGATATATAGTTCTTTCTTTCCATCAGTTGCAGAAATCTATCCAGCATTGACAAAATTACAATAAATAATTCAACTGGATCACAGTAAATAGTAGTGGCTATTATTTTGTCTTTGAGGTAGTCCCCCCCCAACCCCTCGCAATAAAATCATTGATGGTCATCCTAGAGTATTCAGTTTTGAAAATTGAACAGATTCTTCTGTTTAGCTATTCTGGGATTGTAATATTAATTATTAAAAAATATTAGTGGTTATTAAGCTATCATGTACTGTTGAAAGGTAGTAATTTTATGTATTCAATCAGTAAACTATTCAGAACACACGTATCTAAGTTTAACCAAAGTAGAAAGTTACAGACTTTAGTGTTTATATATGTCGTCTTTTAGCATGAAGTGATTCAATTCCAAGTTGACACAAACAAATGAAGGATTGAAAAGTAGCAATTTTAATCCAAGCCCAACAAAGCATGCATTACGTTTTAAAAAATTATTAGGTACATATTAATGAGCTGCAAATAATAGCTATTATTCTAATAGCCTTCCTCGACCCCCACTCCAGGTCAGGAAAGTTTGTATTTCTGAAATTATTATTGTTACTTCATCTTCTTAAAATTGCTTGATTTCCCAGTATCAAGTGAGAGTTAAATTCCATGCCAGTGTCTTTGGGTCAGAACACCATTAAAGTCAAGAACTAAGATTATTTCTTTTTTGTTGTTGTTAGATGTCCGTTATTTTCCATGTGTTCCATTCTTTCTTCTTTTTCTCACTGTCCTAGTTTTCTAGGACTTCACTGAAACCTGGTTTGTTAAGGTATCTAGTAATGAACTTCAACAGTAAAATTGTTGTTTGTCATGAACAGTATTTTCCTCCAATATCTGCCATTTATTCATTTAGCTATGTGATGTGCAACTGGCTGGGTATTAGGGCTACAACATGCGGGGCAAAGGCCAGATGTGGTCTTTGCTGTCTAACTGGGATAGTAACCAAATAAGCTAGTTACATGTGGAATTAAGTGATTGAGGGGAAGGACCAGGTTTTATATGAGCTTTAAAAAATGGAAATCAGGCCTAGCTGGGGAACTAGGAAAGCTTTTTAGAGGGAGCCAGGCTGAATCTAAAGATGAAATGGGTGTTTTAGGTCAGGGAGGGAAGAGCAGTGCCAAGGAAAATGTTCTGGCAAACCTGCTGCTGCTTTACACCAAGATTGAGAGTGAGGCAGGCTAGGTCATCTGTCCCTTTCTAAAATATTCGTAATCACTTCTAAAAAAATTCCTTTCTCACATTTTGAAATTTTAGGGAACCCCATGCCTGCTTAAGCTAACTTTTTCATAGCATAAAACATTCAGAACAAGCCTTTATTCTGACTTTATCACACCATAGGTATTTAAGTCTTATCAGACCCAGTAAGGTAAAAAATAATAAAGTGATCTTTCTTTCCTACATCAGGAGATAAAAATCAGAAACTGGGTACATCAGGTTACTTTCTGTTTGCATCGCTTTTTGTATGTATTTGTGAAAAGATTTTTGGGTCCCTTTGTTACTCTATCTGTATTTTCTAAAGCGGTTTGAATTTTGTTGATGTTTGTTTTGAATTATATAATGATTAGAAACTAACTTACTGTTCAATATTTTCAGTTAAAAGTTGCAAAGGTCGCTGTTTTGAGAGAACATTTGGGAACTGTCGCTGTGATGTTGCTTGTGTTGAGCTTGGAAACTGCTGTTTAGATTACCAGGAGACGTGTATAGAGCCAGGTATGGATGTGCAGGGAAAAAATGGAGTTATGGTCATTAGAAAAAGATCAAGAAAAGTTCTGTGTCTTGCAGGTATACGATTTTTTTTTTTTTTTTTTAGTTTAGCATATGTACATATTTTGACATTAGCTTTTATATTTTCTTTCAACAGTTCCTTGAGAGAAAAATTTATAGAATTTCTTTGTTAAACATTTTGTAGATAGCAAAACTTTGCCTGTTTTTAATGTATGCTGTAAGCCTTTGTAGTCTAATTTGCACTTAAATTCTAAAAGCCTGCTTGAATATAGAAGTATTTTCATTTTGGTTTTCTGACAGTAAGAGATCTTATCTGATCATCTATACTTTTAAAAATACAACTATCAGAATTTGAGAATTTTCTCAGTTAGATTTGGACTTCACTGTATATGACATGGAATAATACTTAAATGAGACAGATTTATTTATTTTTCATTAGTTTTTATTTTTTAAAGACAAGGACTTTTTCTGTCACCCAGGCTGGAGAGCAGTTGCTCAATCATGGCTCATTGCAACCTTGAACTCCTGGGCTCAAGAGATCCTCCTGCCTCAGCCTCCCAAGTAGCTGAAACTACAGGCTCCCACCATTGTGCCCAGCTAATTTTAAAAATTTTTGTAGAGATGAGGTCTCACTACCTTGCCGAGGTTGATCTCAAACCCCTGGCCTCAAGAAATCCTCTTACCTTGGCCTGAGAGTTAGACCTAGATTAAATTTTAGCAGGTGAAAGAAGCCAAGCCTACATATGAATTGTATAATGTTAAGGTGTGTCTAAATTTGAAAATGACAAAATTCTGGAGTTTTAATGAAATAATAGTAATTGTTTCCTACATGTTTTACCCCATTAGGTCAGAGTGGCCCTGGTAGTGGCTGATTCTGTGAGTGATTAAGAGCTGTGAAATGGTTCATTGTTGCTCATGGATCATACTCAGGAGTTCAGCAATTCTGTGTTCACTCTGGACATGTTGAATTTTAGACATGAAACACATTTTGCTGTTGTTTTTTCTAGAACATATATGGACTTGCAACAAATTCAGGTGTGGTGAGAAAAGGTTGACCAGAAGCCTCTGTGCCTGTTCGGATGACTGCAAGGACCAAGGGGACTGCTGCATCAACTACAGTTCTGTGTGTCAAGGTCAGGTGCTCGTTGGGTTCTGCAGCAGCCTGGCATCTTCCAACATCTTAGCTGGGTTTTACATAGGTGTTATCTTTTATGTTAGGAGTCATGGTTATTAGCCAACTATATTAGCTGAAAAAAATACTTTCAAAACTTTTTATTAAAGAAACTTTTAAATATATCCATGGGGAGAGAGAGTATGTAATGAACATTATACCCATCACCCAGCTTAATAATTATTATTATGGACACATGGCCAATCTTATTTTATCTATAGCCATTCATTCTCCTGCCTTATGTTATTTTGATAATAACAGCATACGTAAGGCTGTATTTGTGGAAAGATCACTCTTACAGTCCTGGCTGACTTTTATGTCCCAGCTTCCCTCCTAGTAAATAGAGACACTGTCTGCTGTGCATTTAGAGAGTCGATGTGAAATTTTTTAGAAAGATTCGAGGGCATTTTGTAAGGTGATGCTATTATGATGCTTGTCCAGGTATTATTATTATTTTTTTCAAATTTCTTGACAGAACCTGACTCTATATGAGAGAGAACTAAGACATTAAAATACCAAGGACTTTGATGAGTGGATAGAAGGAGAGGGTTGTACATTTTGGCTGAAAATAATAAGAATTTGAAATTGAAAACGATACTTTTAAGTTCTCACAAATACAGTAGTGTGTTTTAGCCTTACAATTTTGCATCCATTTTTAATTCCTGACATCAACTAACTCTTTTTTTGAAACAGACTAATTCTCTTCATTGATTATACACGTCTAGAGTCATGTCCCATGTTATCTATCGATCTGTTCACGTACTTTGCTTTTGGAATCTGCCTTAATGTGTCTCACAAGCATCATAATTATTATTATGTGAAATGTGTTCAATTCATTTTATTTTCTTGAAAATATTCTAGGTGAAAAAAGTTGGGTAGAAGAACCATGTGAGAACATTAATGAGCCACAGTGCCCAGCAGGGTAAGATTATATTCTGAGGTATTATTGCTTCTTTTTTAGGAGTACAGTATCATTTTTTTCTCTTTCCAAATTAAGATGATAAAAATAATAAAATCACTGGTTTTTTATACATTACAGGTTGAGCATCCTTAATCTAAAATATGTGGTATGAGAACTGTTCTGGATTTTGGATATTTTTGGATTTTGGGATATTTGTGTTATGCCAGTTTGAGCATCTCAAATCTGAAAATGCCAGATGCTCCAGTGAGCACTTCCTTTAAACATCATGTCAGTGTTCAAAAGTTTTGGATTTGGAAGCATTTGAGATTTCCCAGATTTTCAGATTTGGGATGCCCAGCCTGTATTTTTAGCCCGATCTTGTATTTGGCGATGGCTGTATAGAGATGATTATGGAGTTATCCCTATTCTGGAGTTTATGGAAAAGAGAGGCCATGAATAGTTAGTCCTTAGTACTGATGAATGCTAGATAGAAATATTTGCATTTTTCTTTGTAGGAAGGAAGGATCTTTACTTTCATTTGGAGTTTTGAGAGCTGTTAAACTTGTAGAAAATTTAGCTTTTTCTTTTCTTTTCTTTGTATTTTGGTCCATTTATGCATTTTCCGGATAGACAACCTGTTTGTGAGAGATGATACATTTTTAAAAATAGTTCATTTTTTTTGTCCTTCAAACATTTTGTACAGGGTCTTCCATATATGATACCATCAAAAAGAGTGTGTGTGGAATTAAAGGGTGAAAATTTACTTAAAGGTGTTAGGTGTATTTATCCTTGTTCCATTTGAGGTCTACCATCTCATAAATTTGAATTATTCATTTTCAGAAATAAATTTTTACCTCTTTAAAATGGTAGTTTTTCCAGACTAGTAAAATTTTTAAAGCTGTATTTTAGTTCATTTTGTTCATGTATATAATTTTTGTTATATGTTTTCTTTTTTTTTCTTTCGGAAGGAAGAGTACTTTTTGAATTAAATAAACAGTAGCAACAGCAGCAAAAACTAAACCTTAACCAAATAATTTCATCAGAAGAGACTTTTTTTAAGGAAAACTTTTCATATACTCTAAACTGTCTTTTAAGACCAAGTAGGGCATGTGAGACTTAGTGAATTTTGACTCTTTTTCTTCTAAATATTGCTCATTATTTTTCATTTTTAATGCTGAATCTTTTAGTGGAAAACATAACCCTTTCTTTACAAAAAGATTGTAAGTTAGAACACTTATTATTACACTAGAAAATTTACCAGTACGTTTACCTGATGGCCCTCTAAACTGCTTTAATGATTTCTGTTGATTGAATAAAACTAGTTTTATATAGCTTTATATGGACCATTAAGACTATATACACTGATTCTAGAGAGTCTCTCGGTAGAGCTATGTTACAGGCAGTAGCTAGTGAAAACCGTATAAAAATTTTCTCCTTGTGGGGTTGCTTTTGTGTTTTTGAATGCGGGTAAGGTGGGAGCAGGCAGGGTTAAAAAGGCAAGGTTAGGTATTTGCTGTCACATTTTAAATTTGCTGAGTAAACTTTCAGTGGAAAGTTTTTTCACAGTTATCCAGTGTTATATAAGTTCTCTACCACCTACCACGTATCATTAGATGCTGCAAAATTTCTGAGCCATGGCTGTGTTGGGGTAGCCAGGTAGCTGTTGTCCATAGCTATTCTCATTTGCCAAGTATATTAGCATCCTATGTGGTTTTTGGTCTCCACTTTGGATTTCCACATTGCACATTAACTCTTTGTAGATGTATGTATGCATTGTTGAATCCTCATTGTTTGATCATTCCCAGCTTGGAATTATTTCTTTGTTGTTTATATATTTAAATGTAGTATCTCTCAAACTTTTGTATTAAGTATTTATATCTTTTAAATATATTAAGCCTAAAAGTACAGTATATAGGCTGGGTATGGTGGCTCACACCTGTCATCCTAACACTTTGGGAGGCTGAGGTGGGAAGATTGCTTGAGCCTAGGAGTTCGAGACCAGCCTGGGCAACATAGTGAGACCTCATCTCTACAAAAAAAAGAATTAAAAAATTAGCCAGGCTGGTGGTACATGTTTGTAGTCCCAGCTACTTAGGAGGCTGAGGCAGGAGGATAGCTTGAACCCAGGAGGTTGGCGCTGCAGTGAGCTGTGATGGCGCCACTGCATTGCAGCCTGAGCAACAGAGCGAGACCCTGTCTCAAAAGTAAAATAAAAATAAACTGCTAAAATAAATTAAATAATAAAATAGTGTATAATGTATACTGTATGCAGTACTATTTACTATATTAGAGACCATATCAGAAAGTGATGGTACAGGAAAAAATATTTATGGAAATAAATATTTCCATAATATAGATGTCTAAAATATAATGTAGAAAATGCTGTTTTTTTAATTTGTTCATTTTCCTGCAAATTGGGAAAATACTGTTATATTTTAGTAGCAATTGGTTTAGTAGCAATTTTTGGGAACAGCAGGAACCATGAATGATGTTCTTTGTATGGTGCCTCAAAATGATATGAACGCTTAAAATATACTATTTGATGATATATATGTATTATGAAATTACAGAGCTTGTATATAAATGTAAATGCTTGTGAAATATCGTTTATAAATATGCTTGCCGAGCTTTAGTTTTCTTTAGATCACACAGACCTTAACGGAAAATCTTCACGGGACCTCTGCCCAGAAGGGAATACATCTTCATTGGATATGTCTTCTCTTTGCTTTTTAAACATTTTTTTTTTCTTTTTTATTGCCCAGGTTTGAAACGCCTCCTACCCTTTTATTTTCTTTGGATGGATTCAGGGCAGAATATTTACACACTTGGGGTGGACTTCTTCCTGTTATTAGCAAACTAAGTGAGTAACTTCAGAGTTTACTGCTGGAATATCACAATTTCAGTGAGATAGACTAGGTAGGCAGTCTTTCTTGGAAAAGTACTGGCAGAACCTAACTGTTTCACTGGTGATGAGGCACTTAACCTTTAATAGTGTGATTACTCTGAAGCTGCCCTTCAAATACTTCTAAGTTAATATGGTTTCTTAGACTTTTAACCTTTGGTCACTTTTATATGTATTTATTCTTTCTCAGAATTTTGAATTCCTTGTGAAAAAGTCCCTTATTTATTTATTTATTTATTTTACAAATGTTATTATTATTTATGTGCCATATTGGCTCACTATAACCTCTGCCTCTCAGGTTCAAGCTATTCTTGTGCCTCAGTCTCCCAAGTAACTGGGATTAAAGGCATGTGACACCATACCTAGCTAATTTTGGTGTTTTTAGTAGAGACAGGGTTTTGCCATGTTGCCTAGGCTGGTCTCAAACTCCTGAGCTCAACCAATCTGCCCCACTTGGCCTCCCAAAGTGCTGGGATTACAGGTGTGAGCCACCATGCCTGGCCTTATTTTACAAATATTTTATTTCAAAAATAGAATTTCAAAAACTAAAGGTTATTTTTGAGATGTTACCAGTTCAGACATAGAATATTTGTCAGTTATCCTGTATTCTCCTTTGGATTGAATTGGACTCTTCCAATGTTTTTAAATCCCAATCAAGCCTTAATTAAATGGTTTTTCTATAAATTTCCCATGAAATAGAATGGTCTTTTCTTAATATTGAAGCCAGCGTTTTAAATCACGTTAACAACCTTTAAGCAACTACAGTGTAATACTGGACTAAAATGAAAGTAAGTAAATACAGTTACTTTAGCTTTTTGTGGAATTCTAAAATATTATTTAACAGATTCGAGTATGTGAGTTGCTTTAAACATTAAGGTCACTCTCTGTAAATTCATATGTATGTCATTATGCTTGTCTTACGAAGTGACACGATAATTTTGGGAGAGTTTTAAAAATTTTTAGTTTTTAATTTCTACATGGAAGATTTTTTTTTTTCTTTTTCTAAATATTTTGCATAAAAAGGCTTTAACTTTGCATAGACAAAACTGTGTTCTTCCCAGCAGGCCCATGGCCTTTGAAGTGTAAATACAGCCCTTTGCTACCATTATCAGGAGAGCTTGTCTCCATGGTGCCAAATGTGGCATCCTGACTTTAGAGTTAAGGAGCTGGGGGTACCTCTATATGAAGTTTAAAATAAATCAATAAACAATGAGCCCAAGCCCTAGCTTTGAAGAATTAGGGCATGTATCCTGTAGTTCTGAACTGCTAGAAGGCAGTGAGATATACAGACATATGCCAATCTGAGGGACATTTTTAGGCAATGGAGCTTTGAATGATAGAATCATTAGTTATGTGTTCCCTCCTCAATAGTAGAGGCAGGAGAAAAAGAAAAGGAATAAGGTACTAGAACTAGATCAGCAGAGGATCAGGAATAATCGGACTTCTGGGCATTCTTGGACTTGAAGCCACAAAATGCCTTTTGTCTTTAAAGCAGCTGAGTTTGTCCAAGGTTAGCTGGTTCTAGGTCTACGGCCTGGGACACTGTCTTCCCAGTTACTCCTTCACCCTTGTTTTAATTTATAGACTTAGCTACTAGTTCAGTTTTCTTTTTCTAGCTCTTATAATTTAGGTATTTGACCGCTAAGTAGTATCAGAGAATTTGCATCATTTTATTACAACTCACATGCATCATTTTATTATAACTTGTTCATCTTGAATGAAGTAATGTTATGGGTAAGTATAGGATCAATATCTAATTGGCTTCATTATTTTAATGTTTTTCTGAGAAATGAGGTCATCTTTAACATTGAATTGTATCCACAGTGTTGCTTTATAATTCATCCTGAATTTTTATCTGATTAAAATCCCTCCTCGGCTAACTTTTTATTTTACATGGTTTAGACTGCTGTGGTACCACCACTAAATGAGGTAAGCCGATTGTCGTATGTGTCTAATAACAATGTTTATTTTTTTCCCTTCTAGAGAAGTGTGGAACATATACTAAAAACATGAGACCAGTATATCCAACAAAAACGTTTCCCAATCACTACAGCATTGTCACTGTAAGCTCAGCATTTCAACTTTGATCTCTTTGTAGAAGTGAGATGGAATTGTAACATTTTTTTTGAGGGGATAGATTTAAGATCAAAGAAAAACAACTTGTTTTCCAATATGTAGTTAAGCAAAGAAACCGAGGTTCTGATCTTTGCTCTGCCATGAACTAGCTGAAAGTGGCTTTGGAAAGGTCACTTTACCTGCTGGGTCTCCATTTTCTCATCTGTGAAAAGAGATGGCTCAAGACCTCAAGAAATGATTTCCTGGTTTCCTTTCAGTGTTAAGATTTTCTGATTCTTGTATCTTAGTTTTTTGGCTTATTTTATTTGAGCCAAAAAACAGTCCCAAACTCCTGTGTTCGCAACTTGTCTTTCCAATCATCTTGATGATGAATTTAAGCAAGCCACTTTGCCTGACTCCAAATAGGATTACAGTACTGTTTTTGTTTCAAAGTTTCCAGATTTAATTTGAGTCAAGTAAAACAGTAGAACTCATTAAGCTTTAGAATTGAGGCCAGAAAATTAGTATGTTAGCTTATATTGATGCAGGCTACTCTGGGACCCCGCCAAAAGAGGAATTTGTTCTGCAGAAATGCTTTACTCACAATTTAAAAAAACAGCAGTATTGTTTTCAAAATTTGAGAGGCTGCAGGCTTTTTTTGTTTGTTTTGTTTTTGTTTTTGTTTTTGAGACAGAGTATCACTCTGTTGCCAGGCTAGAGTGCAGTGGCACGATCTTGGCTCACTGCAACCTCTGCCTCCTGGGTTCAAGCATTTCTCCTGCTTCAGCCTCCCAGGTAGCTGGGACTATAGGTGTGCACCACCACACCCAGCTAATTTTTATATATTTAGTAGAGACAGGGTTTCACCTTGTTGGCCAGGATGGTCTTGATCTCTTGACCTCATGATCTGCCCACCTCAGCCTCCCAAAGTGCTGGGATTACAGGCATGAGCCACCGCGCCCAGCCGAGGCTGCCTTTTTTATATAGATCTTTATCCTTAGTATTACTGACTTATTTTCTCCTATTACATAGTTTAAATCACAAATACAATATAAAATCTTAAGTGGTTGATTGTATTTTGACATTACCCGATTGTTTTGTTTTTCTTTCCTTAAACTGACTATAATTCCATGTGGCTTCAGTTATCAGTTTCTCTTGGATGATTTTTTTCTGTGACTTTATTTAACGTTAAATAAACTCAGAAATTGCATAAAATCTGTTTTATCTTTTTTAGGGATTGTATCCAGAATCTCATGGCATAATTGACAATAAAATGTATGATCCCAAAATGAATGCTTCCTTTTCACTTAAAAGTAAAGAGAAATTTAATCCTGAGTGGTACAAAGGAGAACCGGTGAGTTCTTTGTTTTATCTACTAAAATAGTTTGTTATTCTCATCTTTTCCAATCAGAGTAAAATAACCAGATTCTCTGGAGCTTTTAATAACCTATTTCATTTAGTGTATCTGTGGCCATTCTTTTGTAAATGGAGATGAATGCTGATAATCCTAAACATAACTTATATAATTGTGTAAAAGGAGGGTAGTTTATTTCAGAGGTGGATTTGGGTTGTGCTGGGCCATTTTTCTTTTCTGATCAATTCTTCTACCAGAAGCAGATAGCAGTAATATAGGGAGATTACTGTAAAAAATCTTCCCATATTACTGCTATCTGCCTCTGGTAGAAGAAAAACTAGAATCTACACAAAACTACACTGTTTTTGTAGTTTTGACCTACACAAAACTACACTGCTTTTGAAAGCCTTGGTTTTATTTACATGTGCTAATTTAGGAGATTTTTTTCTAATTGTGATTTAGCTGTGTTCTCATTGTTTTACTTTTTAAAATTGTCACAATAATTATATAGGTTCTATTTAACTAATCATAGTATTCCTCTTAGAAAGACAAACAGCATGATAGTTAGTTTGCAGGTTATTAATTCAAATTTTAGCTCTGACGTTTAAGGCTGTGTGTCTTTGGACAAATCATTCTGTCTCTGCCTCTGTTTTATCATATCCATACTGTAGATAATACTGTTTACTACTTTGTAGGATTATTGTGAGGATTATGTGAATTAATAATGTAGCGTACTTGTAGGAATACTATTTAGAGCCATGATTGGAAATAATAAGTGCTTAATAAATGTTAGTCACAGCTGGGTGTCGTGGCGGATGCCTGTAATCCCAGCGCTTTGGGATGATGAGAAGGGTGGATCACCTGAGGTTGGGAGTTCGACACCAGCCTGACCAACAAGAAGAAACGCCATCTCTATTAAAAATACAAAATTTGCTGGGTGTGGTGGTGCATGCCTGTAATCCCAGATATTCAGGAGGCTGAGGCAGGAGAATCGCTTGAAATTTGCAGGGGGTGGTTGCAGTGAGCCGAGATGGTGCCATTGCACTCCAGCCTGGACAACAAGAGCAAAACTTCATCTCAAAAAAAAAAAAAAAAAAGTTAGTTACGTACACAGAGATCTTAGCAAATTAAAGACATGTATATTCGTGAATTTTTTCTTTCAAGAGGAATCTGTTAATTAGGGTTCTAGCTCCAAAAGTTACAGGAGTTAATCTCTGACTATTTAATAACCTGTTGCTGCTTAAGAGTCATATGTCATAGTTCTTGTGATCTAAGTGCTGAAGCTCGTTGACCTTGCGCTATAGACAAGGAATGTGTTGGTATTGCATGAACACATATTTTCCTAAGAGAGGAATGTTTGCATGATTTCTTAATTTTCCTTCATTATCTGCTCCAGATTTGGCTCACTGCTAAGTATCAAGGCCTCAAGTCTGGCACATTTTTCTGGCCAGGATCAGATGTGGAAATTAATGGAATTTTCCCAGACATCTATAAAATGTATAATGGGTATGTAAAATGAACTTTTTCTAGAATCTGTAACATAGAACAGCTAATTCTTACGTAATCGCCTTTTTATTGAATCCTAAGCTTTAGCGTTTGAGTGATATGATGACTGAAAAATGAGAACTGAAGAACTCTTTCTCCAGGAGTTTAGATGGATGGTAAATGGACAGTGAAACTAGACAAGTGTTTTCTAGAGCCTTTCTAGAAACACTGATAACGTGTTTAGTTCAGATCTCTGGGCAAGTATGAAAAATGAGATCATGATGAAGGTAGCCATCTGGGAATGGAGGTACCGCACATCTTAACTCTAGAAAGAGAAAGAACTGTAACTGCCCAAGAGGTTCACTTTGTATACTTCCTAGACAGAGTGGGTTTATCAAGAGAGGAGAATTGCATTGGAAAAAATGTAATTCATGCAGGGCCAGCTATGTGGGAAACCAGCGTTTTAATATTACTCAAATCAGCCTTCCTGAGCATTTTGGGATACAAAGTTTTAAGGGTAATTTGGCAGATAGGAGTTTGGGAAGTAGTGAGTGCTGATGGGTCGGGTTGGAGATGGAATCATAGGGGGTCGAGTGAGTTTTTCTTGCTGTCTCCTGTTTTTGGGTGGGATTGCAGAACTGGTTGAACCAGATTACCAGTCTGGGTGGTGTCAGCTGGTGCATGGACTGCGGGATCTGCAAAATATCGCAGGCACTAATCTTAGGTTTTACACTAGTGATGTTATTCTCAAGAGCAATTTGGGGAAGTTCAGACTATTACAGCTGGAGGCTGCATGTCCCCTAAACCATACTTTCTGATCTTGTAGCTTTGTTAGTCACATTAAGGTAGACCGGTCCCCAGGGCAAGAAGGGGATTTTTTTTGGCGGGGGTGGGGTGGGGGAAGAGCTATTACCAATTTTGTGTCAGAGTTAAACTAGGAACTAAATTCCTTCCAAAGGTTAGTTCAGCCTACGCCCAGGAATGAAAAAGGACAGCTTAAAGGTTAGAAGTAAGATGGAATTGGTTAGGTGTGATCTCTTTCACTGTCATAATTTCCTCAGTTACAATTTTTGTAAAGGTGTTTTCAGAACCAAGAGAAGGAAAAGATGAGTGTATTAAAGAGGACACAGGTGGGAATGATTTTCTGCTATTTAGCATCTATTGTGTTTGGAAATACTATTTAAAAGAAGATATTAATGGTACCTCTGATTTTCCATTTCTAAATTAATAAATATGCTTTCTAATGTAAGAAACTGATTAGAATAACCTCTTTGTGATATTTGAAATCCATGATGCATTGAGAAAAAACAAAAACTTTTTAATGAAAAAATTCCTTTGGGCCAATTTGAGCAAGATTACCAAAATAATTTTATTTATTTTAAAATTATAAAATCTCTATCACAAAATGAATACAACAAGGTGTTTAGAAGGGTGAACAGAAATTATCTTAAATCGCAGACAAAAAATGTATGGCAATTTTCCTTGTGATCTTATGCTAGTTTGTGTTCTTATGGTTTCCATGAGCACGGTGCAATGCTTCTTCTCCACTTTCTTATTTGTCACTGTTTTTACTCCATGGACAGTAATTAAGAGTTTATGGGCCAGGTGTGGTGGCTCAAGTAATCCCAGCACTTTGGGAGGCTGAGGCGGGCAGTTCGCCTGAGGTCAGGAGTTTGAGACCAGACTAGGCAACATGGTGAAACCCCATCTCTACTAAAATACAAACAAAAAAAAAAAATTAGCTGGGCGTGGTGATGCACACCTTTAGTCCCAGATACTCAGGAGTCTGAGTCAGGGTTATCACTCGAACTGGGAGGTGGAGGTTGCAGTGAACCAAGATCCACCACTGCACTGCAGCCTGGTGACAGAGTGGAACTCCGTCTCAAAAAAAACAAAGAGTTATGCACTAGGCATGGGGGATTCAAAGATTAATAGTATAGGGTCTCTGACTTTATAAGGTTTAGTAAAGTACACGACTAATTGTACTTGGGGTAGGGCAAGAACTCTGATTGGAAGTGTGTAAACAAAGCCAATGTCCAGAGGAAGGCATAATCAATTTTGTTCAGGAAATATTGCCTCGAGAACTGCCGTCAGCTCCTCAGGTGCCTACTCCGCAGCTGTGCTGAGTCATCAGTGAGTGAGTTCTTCGTGATACCTGCTTTGTGAAATATATTAACACATGAGTTATTCATGTGGTAAGCAGTGACTGTTGTCAGGTCCATGAATATATCCTCAAGTAGAGGATAGCAAGCAAAGTTTTAAATCCAATTGCAACCTTTTTTTTCTGTGTAAAACCTAACTTTCATTCTTTCATTGGGAAAATACATTTCAAATAAAACCCTTAATTGATTTCAAACGCAATAGATGCTAAATAGCACTTAGTAGGTCTTGATGACATTTTCAGTGAAAAAAATCTGTATTTTAAACGATTGTGAGACATCTTTCCTTTTTGTTTATTCTTAATTTTAGTTCAATACCATTTGAAGAAAGGATTTTAGCTGTTCTTCAGTGGCTACAGCTTCCTAAAGATGAAAGGTATGTAGGCGATTAATTTCTTTCGTAAATACTTTTTTATTTTGTAGAAATGTAGTATTTCTGTTTTAAAATAGACTGCAACAAAACTTAGCTATTTGCTATGATGTTTTATATCGAAATAAATTCTTTAGTGAACGACCACACCACATTTTGAAGAATTTCAAAGCTGTAAATTATTTCTCAGTAGAACTGTTACCCCAGTATTATAAAATTTAATCCCTATCAATTGATGAATTATTTTTTCCATTCTGTTTTTCAATGTGTTTGTAAAATATTACATTTTGATACTGTTTGATTTAGACCACACTTTTACACTCTGTATTTAGAAGAACCAGATTCTTCAGGTCATTCATATGGACCAGTCAGCAGTGAAGTAAGTACATTTTTATCAGTAATTACTTCATTAAACCCAGTCATCAAACTGAACCTCGCTTTGAAGGAGGCTGCTAGGCTATTCTGTAAAAGTCTGTGATTTCTGGAAAAAGCGAGTATTATGCACAATATTGCTAAATAAAAGGATGCACTTTAAACAAAATAAGAGTTGGGAGAATTGTTTAGCTTATGTTCTCAGCAGTGCTAAATTGAACTGATAATAAATTAACTTCCATGTTTTCAATTTGAAAGCCTTTATCCACTCCATGGCCTTTTACCTTGGCCTAAATACCAAGTGCTTTTTGAGAATGTTGTAAACAGCTAAACATCCAATATGAAAATATAGGATAGTAAGTCAAAGAGCAGAGGAAGCCCTCTATGAACTCTCTTCCTTAGAAGATATGGCTTTTGCCACCTGAGACCTTGCTTACAACAGAGGTCCCATAGAAGGATGGGAGATTTTGTCAAAAGTATAGAGATATTTGAATAATTATTGAGTATTTCCTAGGAAACTAGAGATAGGAAAGAGCTCATGGACTAACGCTTCCCGTGTAACATCTTGTTTCACCAGACACCCTTTCAGGAACTTAGCCAGCTCCTGGCTATGTTTTTAATCTGAGTAGCACTTTAAAATAGCAAATACTGCTTTCAGTTTTTACGTGACCATATTATTTTTGTTACCATTTTAATGGCAAAAAAAAATGCAGTTACTTTTGCACCAACCTAATATTTTGGAACACAGGAAGCATTAGAACAGAAAATGATTTGAAGGCCCGGCATGGTGACTCACGCCTGTAATCATAGCACTTTGGAAGGTCAAGGCAGATGGATCACCTGAGGACAGGAGTTCAAGGCCAGCCTGGCCAACACGGCAAAACCCTGTCTCTATTAAAAGTACAAAAAAATTAGCCAGGCATGGTGGCATGTGCCTGTAACTCCAGCTACTCAGGAGGCTGAGGCAAGAGAGTCTCTTGAACCCAGCAGGGGGGAGGTTGCAGTGAGCCGAGATCACACTACTGTACTCCAGCCTTGGTGACAGAGCAGGACTCCATAAAAAGAAAAAAAAATGATTCGAGCATATATACTTTGTCTGTTACCTAAGATCTGAAAAGAAGTAAAAAGTAAGGATCTTGACTATTTTTTGGTCATGATAAAAGTGAAAAGAGGTATTGCCGGCATCCCTCCTGTCAGAACCTCACGTAGTTATCTTGTGCCCCATGTGTATTCCAAGGGGTAATGCACTATTTTAAAAAACACTCTTTCTTAATTTCTAGGGCTTCACTTCCAAATTCCTATCAGTTCTCCTGCCCAGATAGCCCAAGCTGGATAGTTGGTGAGCCTTAAGGACTCTTCAGCATAGAGTTCAGACTAAAGCCTGGCCTGACATGTCTATTGTGATCCTGGTTTTTGAGGGTATTGTTTTCCTAATTGAACAACAGCAGAGGAAGGAGGGAAGGCAAAAAAGCATCCTTATTTTTCTCACTTGAATCTACAACAGCTGCCTAAACCATCTTCACTCATTTCCCTTTCCCTGGGTGTGCCCTAGATTTTTGCCCCTCTTAAAAAGTAGCTATCACCTTGGATAAAACAGTGAAGAGAGAAGGAAGCTCTCACCTAGGTCTGTTTTTACTCTTTGTATTCTTTCCATCAGAATCCATCTCCAGCAGCTCCACTGTAGTTAGTTACTCCATTGTGCCTTCCTTTCATTCTGTACTTGAACTTAGCAGAAATGCTCCTGCTTAGAGGGAGAATAAGGAAGATGCATGCCAGCAACTTGGATGTGTCAAAATTGGCCAAAGGGAAAAGTTTCTTGTAGCTGTTGTCTTGGTTTGAACAATTAGTTACATATAGTGTGATTTTTAGTCTTTTTACTTAAGTCACTGATACCGAAGACTCGTATCTAGGTCAATTTGGCTAGAGAAAAGTCCAAGGATCATTTTATATTTGTTTATAAGTTTACATACATTTTAAAATCATTGCTGCCTTTTCTAATTCACTAACAATGTGCCAAAGCACCTGCTTTTCTGACTCATCTTCATTTAAGGTTGAGCCCATTACTTTTCAAATCATATCCATCAATTTGCAAACTCTGTAAACTCCAACATTACTAGCACACCAAAACCACTGTGTCTTAATACTTAAAAATTCCTGTTCATGTTGCTTGGATATCTTTGAATGGAAGACTTTGTCTTGTTTCATATTACGGTGAAAGAGCTTATTTCATATTACAGTGAAATATACTTGACAAGGAATGAAGATTAAGCTGATTCCACACAATACAGGAAATGCACAAAACTGTACAATAATTTTTCTCAAATGATTTTGCAAGGAGAGAGGATAAAATGAATGCCAGAAAGCAATTTGCCAATATCATTTGTCATTCTGTGTTCTTGTTATATTTATATGTAAAATATATGTGGTTTGTAAGGAAATAATGGGTTGTATTCCTATGAGTTCTAATTTAGAAAATTAAATACATTGGATTATAAGAAGCATTTCATGAAAAATTTTAACATATTTGAAAATTAGGAAATGTATTTATACAGTGACCATTTGAATGATCAGAAAGCATAAGAAGAAATTAATTGTAGAAAATGAAGTGGTAATTAAGAACATACTGGTTTCTGACCAGATGCTGTAGATTTGAGCCATTATTATTTTGACTTAAATTGGGTCTAATCTAAGTAGTAGCATTCTGACCTTAGGAAGGGAGAACTAATAGATCAGCTAATGTCATTCCCAAAACTTAAAATTGAACATGTATAGAATTAGGACTCTTGCATTGTTAATGATCTGTAGTTATTTACTGTTCTTTATATCTCAGCCCTGACCTGTGTTAGTCTAATGTAAATTAGCTCACCATAGTTGCATCCACTGGCCCTTTTCTCTCTCTCTTTCTTTCTTTCTTTCTTTCTCTTTCTCTTTCTCTCTGTTTTCTTTCTCTCTCTCTTCCTTTCTTTTTTTCTCTTTCTTTTTCTTCCTCTTCCTCTTGTTCTAATAGAGAGAGCTTTATGTATAAATAGCCATGAGTGTGGAATGTATCACATGAGGTTGCTTCCCATTCTTAGGTCATCAAAGCCTTGCAGAGGGTTGACAGCATGGTTGGTATGCTAATGGATGGTCTGAAAGAGCTGAACTTGCACAGATGCCTGAACCTCATCCTTATTTCGGATCATGGTAATCTCAATTTGCATTATTTACTCTTTCAGGTGAAAGAGTCGAAGAAAGTTTACTTGATTGTTTTCTCATTTCTTCTGAATGTTATAGTTAATTCTTTTTTAAAAATGTAGTTTCTTGTAGACATTACATTAAATATAAAATGTAAGTGAAACAGAATTCACAGAAGCCTAAGTGTCTATCAAGCACAATGTACCTGTATCTTCTGATTTGAGAGAGGAATACACCAAGAATTTGAGTAGTTAAAAAATATATTTTTCAACATGAAATTCTTGTAACTCTGAAATTTTAGATTTAATTGGAACTGGTTATTATATCTTCAGTTTTCTTCTTTTGTTTTTGAGATAGTCTCACTCTGTTACCCAGGCTGGAGTGCAGTAGCATGATCACAGCTTACTGCAGCCTTGACTTCCTGGGCTCCAGTGATTCTCCTACCTCAGACTCCTGAGTAGCTGGAACTATAGACATGTGCCACCACACCTGGCTAATTAAAAAAATATATTTTTTGGTAGATATGGGATCTTGCTATGTTGACCAGGCTGGTCTCGAACTCTTGGTCTTAAGCTCCCACCACCGCCTCCCAAAGTGTTGAGAATGTAGGCATAAGCATTGTGCCCAGACTTCAGTTCTCTTTAGCATGATAAATCTGACTTTAGAAACATTATATATTAATTTTGATAATATTTTAATTTCACTTTTACTTACTATGATCTTTGTAACATGCTTATGTACAGTTTGGGGACTACAGAAGCAGTGTGCATACAGAAAGTAGGTTCTTTTTGTTTTTGTTCTTGTTTGCTTCAGAAATAATTAGAGAAATCTATGTTTAGAAATGGTCCTGAGAAGTTACATGCTAAAGAAGCTCCAGTCTTGGAGTAAGAGTGAATCACATACATACATTCCAAGTTAATATCCTAGGTGGTTTGGGGCAAATTACTGGGCTTTCATACTCAGTCTACAACTGTGATAAGACATTCTTCTTTGCTCACATAATGATATCGTAATATAAAAAAGAAACATTAAAATAAATTTGGGTGATGGAAAAGATTTTGAAAAAATTGAAGTAAGAGATACATCTGAAATTCTGTCTTACTTATCAGATGTTCAACTAATATGAGTGCTACACCCATATTTAACTCTGGGAGTGAAAAAAAATCTGCTCTGCATATTAAATTTTTTGTGAAGGTTACAGCATGTTTTGGAATTTTTTTTTCTCCTAGGCATGGAACAAGGCAGTTGTAAGAAATACATATATCTGAATAAATATTTGGGGGATGTTAAATATATTAAAGTTATCTATGGACCTGCAGCTCGATTGAGACCCTCTGATGTCCCAGATAAATACTTTTCATGTAAGTATATCCCTGTGATAACTTTGAATATGGTCATATTAAGAATACCTTCCTCTAGTCTGGGTGCGGTGGCTCACACCTGTAATCCCAGCACTTTGGGAGGCCAAAGTGGGCAGATCACCTGAGGTCAGGAGTTCGAGACCAACCTGACCAACATGGTGAAACCCCATCTCTACTAAAAATACAAAAATTAGCCCGACATCGTGGTGGGCACCTGTAGTCGCAGCTACTTGGGAGGCTGAGGCACTAGAATTGCTTGAACCCAGGAGGCAGAAGTTTCAGAGAGCTGAGATCATGCCACTGTACTCCAGCCTGGGCAACAGACTAAGACTTGATCTCAAAAAAAAAAAAAAATACCTTCCTCTAAATTATTACTTCTCTAAACTAAAGGAAATCAGGGTTAATTTTGTTCATGATTAAATCTCTAATGCAGATCTTTCGTATGGGAATTGATTTTATGGGACCGGATGTGAGAACACAACTCTAACCACTTACCTATTGGTTATTCATGGACTAAGCATATTATTTGATGAGCATGGTGCAATTTTATGTTGAAGTGTGTGTATACTTTTATATCAGATTAAAGATTATACTAGAAAAAAATTGAAGAGAAAAATCCAACTGCATTTATTCAAGTTTAATGACTTACTTAGTTTGGGAATAATAGTCTATTATGAGGAGGAATGCTGGCAGAAATGATTAATTCTATAGGCAATTGATTCCTATCCTCAGAAATGCCTCCCTTAAACCATTTCAGAAACAATAAAGAATGTATCTTTTAAATAGGGAGGAATGAATTTCATATTCTCTCTTGACTACATGTGGTACACAAACTGCCAAAAAATGTTTTAAGATATTTATTCTTTTGCCAGTCAAGTGTATTTCATAACTGTTTCTACCTCTGTTATCCACCTCTCTTTTTGATTACAATCCATGATAACTTTCAGATATGTAGAGCAAATTATGTCTTTTTGATATAGTTAACTTTGAAACAGAAAGAGAATAAAATTTTCTGACAATTACCAGAATTGGTTTAGATTGGGCTATTTGGTAAGATATGTTTCAATAGATACATACTGTTGTCTATTAATGAAGAAAACAGCTTTCACTGCAGGAAAATGGTTATGCAGATATATTTACACAGTGTCACAAAGCACAGGCTCCATATGCATAACATCCGGTTTTAACTAGTATTTTTTTAAATTCAGAAAAGTAGTACATGACTGTTATAAAAACCTGTTATTTATAAAGACAGTACAGACAGGCCAGCTGCAGTGGCTCACGCCTGTAATCCCAGCACTTTGGGAGTCCCAGGTGGGCGGATCACAAAGTCAAGAGATCAAGATCATCCTGGCCAACATGGTGAAACTTTGCCTCTACTAAAAATATGAAAATTAGTTGGGCGTGGTGGCACACGCCTGTAGTCCCAGCTACTTGGGAGGCTGAGGCAGGAGAATCACCTGAACCCAGGAGGTAGAGGTTGCAGTGAGGTGAGGTTGTGCCTCTGCACTCCAGCCTGGTGACACAGAACAAGATTCTGTCTCAAAAAAAAAAACAAAAAAACAAAAAAAAAACAAACCTCTAGAGGCAATAGCAGTCTCCAGAATAGTAGTTGCCAGAGCTGTTTGGGATGGGATAGCTAAGCTGTAGCCATTCCCTTATCACAGTTATACCCTCAAGTTTCACAAATTAAAGCAAAAACTATATGTGTACGTCATTTTACAGAAATACATGAAATGTATTTCTGTAAAATTGTACTTTTATATTGATAATTTTCTCAAACTTATATAATGTTTGGCTAAAATAAAATCTAGGAAGCTAGGTAGTTACTGAATCGTAGTACAAACTACCCTAAGTAAATTCATGTGCATACTAGGCAAATTCAGTTTTTAAATTAGCCTACTGCCTTCTCTTTGAAGTTTCCTCATGCCCCTCTTATTTCAAAATTCTAGAACTATCATTGAATGTTGAATTATACAAAGTAAAAAGTAACAGCTTCCCACCTGAAGTCTTCCAACTGGACAACTCATTTCCCTTCTCTAGAAACACCTACTGTTAAGCTTGGACTGTATCTTCCCAGATAATGGCAATGCATTTACAAAACACATACAATTTTTATTTTTGCACAGTGAAACCATACCAGATCTACATGGATAGTTCCTTCGGGGGATGGATAGATATTTGTTGCTAAATGGATGGAGAGATGGTTGGACAGGTGAATGGATAGTTAGATGGGTGAATGGATATGTGGTTAACAGGTGGAGGAATAGGTAGATGTTCTGTAACTTGTCTTTTCATTTAACAATATGACTCTATGTCATGGGAGTCATTACAGGGTGATACCTAAAGGTCTGTCTAATTCCTTTCAGTGGCTAACGTGTAATGACTTAAATGAGCTTTTTAAAACCTGCCTTGGTATTTAAATACAGAGTTTGAATCTGACATTGTACATTTTTGTGTTATCTTTTAATTATAGCACACCATCTACTATTAATTCTTATATTTGTTTCCCTCCAGTTAACTATGAAGCCATCGCTCGAAATCTTTCTGTGAGTGTCTTTATTTTCCATTATCTAGTTATTTTTAGATTTGTATAATATATATTGAAAGAAAAGTTTCAACATCTATTATTGGAATTGAAGGATTAGAATATTTTAGTAATCTGGGCCAACATGTAAATGCTGTGTAGTTTAAAGATCTTTAAGGTTGTGTCCCAATAATCTAAGTTTGAAAAATTTTTAAGAGTTATTTATTGGCATTGTAAAATTTATATGAGAAGAAATAATTTTGAAACTATTTACAAGAAATAATTTTTAAAATAAAAGGAAAAACCCTATAGCTGTACCACCATAAACACCATTAGCATGATGATATATCTCCTTCCAGTCCTTTTTTATGCCGTAACAAAATAAGCTTCTATACTAATGCTGAGTACGTATACTACATTTTATACTCATACATTTTAAGTCTGCAAGAGAACACGATTGCAGTTACAAGGATGTTTGAAAATAGAATCCTCAGCGGTAACTTGAATGTGATCTAGTGACAGTCTGAGTTCTGGGGCTTTTATGTGGTAATAATTATGATTTCCTCTTAATGTTTCAAGTAGTTTGGAAGATTTACCTTGTACTTTATACAAGCTGTAAGAACTTTTAGCTGTTTTTCCATCTCTGACTTATTGGGCAGGCTGATGAAATGTTTGTGAAGAAAAATTTCATAAGAAGTTAGAAAGCAATTTCAAGAAAAGTTGACACGTTTGATATTAGGGAAATAATAGTTTTTCTTTGCTGTTTGTAATTTCAGTGCCGGGAACCAAACCAGCACTTCAAACCTTACCTGAAACATTTCTTACCTAAGCGTTTGCACTTTGCCAAGAATGATAGAATTGAGCCCTTGACATTCTATTTGGACCCTCAGTGGCAACTTGCATTGTAAGTTCCGATAGTCTCCCAGGTAAACTTAGCCTGATCTGTTAGTGATTCGGAGTAACCACTGAGCCCTTTTTAACAATACCGTTATGTGAAAACTGTGTAAGTATGATTCTCTTCACTCTAATCCAGGACTTCCCATGTCGGCCTATGGATGTTTGAGTTGGATAATTCTTTGTTGTGGAGAGCTGTCCTGCACACTGTGGGGTATTTGACAAGGATCCTTTACTTCTCCCCACTAGCTGAAAGTAGCATCTTTTCTCCAATGTGACAATCAAACATGCCCCTCAGCATTGCCAAAAGTTCCCTGGGGAGGAGGGATCACCCAGACTATCCTTGGCTAAGAACCATCGTTTGGGCCTTTCATGTCCATATTGATTACTTCTTATAATCTACATTTGTTACCGCTTGCCATTGCATCTCTTCTACACATTACAGTTTGTCTAATTGTGCCTCCAAAGCCCAGCAAACAGTTGGTGAAAGTACTTTACTTTATAATGAATAACTATCTTTGTTATACACAATCAATAAACTTTAGTTCATTAACTGTTTTGGTGGTTGCCAAGAAATTAGTCATGATACATTCCCCCTTCAAGCAAAACCTAAGCAGTGAAGCAAAATCCAGTAAACAGGATTATACTGTCCCCACTCTTACTGGAGAGCTAGGCTTTTAGTTTTCAAAGAAAAAATACAAAAGGAGAAATGATCCTACTCTCATGGGAAAACTAATATTTAGTAAATATCTAAATACCATGTTGCAAGCATTTCTTTAGGCTACGTCATTATTTTTACGAATAACCAACATGAGAAATCGAAATCAAAGAAGATCGTTAAATCTGTGTGAATTCACAGGTAGTTAATCGCACAGCCAATGTTCAAAACCACTTCTCTCTTGATGCTAGTGGTTTTTCTCCTGTGTACTATATTGATTATAGTTTATTTGTCTATGAAATAAAAGATAGAGGTGACTTGTTAATGCTTTTCAAAGCCAGGTGATTTTATTTACTTGTTTGTTGGTTTATCAGAATAGTTACATACCTTTTATTAATGAAAATAATGTTATGATTATTAATTATGTTTTATGAAGGGACTTTACAGTTTTGATTCATATATGTCAAAATTAGGAATCCCTCAGAAAGGAAATATTGTGGAAGTGGATTTCATGGCTCTGACAACACATTTTCAAATATGCAAGTGAGTAAATCTATTATACTTAATTGGCTTAAATCTAAAGAAAAAATGATATATGAAGTTTGAGACTTGAAAACAGACTGTGATTATATTTCTTGAATGAGAATTAATGAAACATATTTTCATAAAGCTACTTTTCTTTGAACTTTAAAGAATTTTGTTAAAATGTTATATTCATTGGCTATTACTGAAAAGTCAAAAAACATGAGATGTTAATAAGGATGTGGAGAAAAGGGAACACTTATACACTGTTGAAGGGAATGTAAATTAGTACAACCTTTATGGATCACTGTATAGAGATTTCTCAAAGAAATAAAAATGAAACCATGTCTCAATCCAGCAGTCTCACTACTGGGTATCTACCCAAAGGAAAAGAAATCATTTTACAAACAGACACCTGCTCTCGTATGTTTATCGCAGCACTGTTCACAGAAGTAAAGTCATGGAATCAACCTAAATATTTATGAATGGATGATTGGATTAAAAACGTGGTATATGTGTGAATATATGTATATATGTACATATATATGTATATGATGGAATAAAATGTGACACATGTGTGAATATATGTGTGTATGTACATATATATATATGATGGAATACTGCTCAGTCATAAAAAAGAATGAATTCCTGTCCTTTGCAGCAACGTGGATGGAATTGGAGGCCATTATCTTTAGTGAAATAACTCAAACAGAAAGCCAGAAACCGCATGTTCTCACTTGTAAGTGGTAGCTAAACAGTAGGCACACATGGACATACAGAGTGAAATAATAGACATTGGAGACTCCCTAAAGGCGGGAGGGTGGAAGGAGTGTGAGGGATGAAATACCATTTACTGGGTACAATGCACACTATTCAGGTGATGGGTAACCAGACTTCACCACTATGCAGTATATCCATGTAACATAATTATACCCATACCCCTAAATCTATAAAAATTAAAAATTTAATAAAATTTTATATTCATATTTCATGAACATATGACTTATATATCCTGTATTTCTTATAATTATTTTTCATATTTTGTGCTCTGATAAGAATATTGCTTTACAGTTGAAGAAAGCCAGTGATATAATAGATAAGAAAGTATCATACTTATGTTCAGAGAAGAGATATCTTACATTTACTCAGCACTTTAACATTTTCAAGATAAACTTACAATAATTATCAAATTTGATTTCTGCAGCACTGTGTAAGGTGGGCAGGGTGATGTTTGTATTGTGTCATAGATTAAAAAAATTTTATCATTCATTTGGTTCTGATTGTCAAGTCAAGAATTGTAATAAAACTAAGAGACATATCCTGGATTATATGTGTGATAGGGTTAAAACTATATTTCCCACAAAGTCTACCAGGCATGGTAGTTTTCCTCTTATCATAACCAGTTTGTATATGTACAATGTGGATAACAGAATTTTTTGGACCAACTTGTAGACAGCTGAAATGCACTGATAAACTTTCTTTTCTGGCCATCTAGGCCCTCTTTATTGGCTATGGACCTGGATTCAAGCACGGCACTGAGGTTGACACCTTTGAAAACATTGAAGTCTATAACTTAATGTGTGGTAAGTGTGAATGGGTGGCTTTTTTCCCTTCTGAAAACAGACCTGAAATAGGATTATCAAAAGCAAATCACATTGTAGGCAACTTTGTGGAGATGATGGTGAGACAAGACAGATTTTTACCTTTTCCCTGACTCAGACCCACTGAAGAAATGTGGGGAATGTGTCATCTTATTACTTATCTGATTCACTAGGCTGCATGCTGGTAAAGTACACCACTCACAGCAGGCTGGTCTGCACACCCCCAGTGCCCAGCACTTACACCCTTGGTTTAATGATTTGATTCTTGGCTCAGAGCAGTGATAGAAGTCATAGAAGAGACTTGGGTGTAGTGAAAGGTGTACAAAATTGGTGGAACTTCTGGTAGCTGTAATGGTTGGATGTCAGTCAATGTCAGCGTGGTGGAAATGAAAGTGGAACACATTAGGGATATTCTTCGTTACTTTATACTTTCTGAAATAGTCCTTTTAGGGTGAAGCAATTGTGTTTTAAATATTAGTTTCTTATTCTGATAATGGTCCTAAGCATTTGCAAAGCCTTAACTATGTCTTAAGTACAGTTGTTTTAGTGGGAGCCTGTATAGTTTAAATGAGTTAACATATCCTAAAATACTTAAAAGCACCTGGCATATAGTAAGTGCTTACTACAGAAGTATTTGCTCTTACTACTTTTAAGAGCATGAGTCTTAGACAAAGCTGGTGTTGAATTCTAGATCTTCTAGTTAGTAACTTTGAGAATTGGGGAAAAGCACTTTGATTACTCATCTACCAAATATTGATGATAACTTCTTAAATTGTTTTGGGGAATAAATAAGAAAATATATGAGTACCATGACTGGCATAAGATATGCATTCAACAGGCGGTGACTGTAGTTATTGTCCACTTTAAAATTCAGAAATTTTGTGGTGAAGTACAGCATGCATATCAGTATTTCTGTTAAAGATAGCTTAGTCTTAAATACTCTAAAACCCAAGAGAGTTTTATACTTTTATTTTAGTTAGAATAAAGGACTAATATATCTGATTTTTAAAAGGTAAAGATTATGGTGCATGTCTCCTATTTATTTGGTTTTGAAACATCTAAGTAACTCTCCCATTCTTAAAATTATGCAGATTTACTGAATTTGACACCAGCTCCTAACAACGGAACTCACGGAAGTCTTAACCACCTTCTAAAGAATCCTGTTTATACCCCAAAGCATCCCAAAGAAGTTCATCCCCTGGTACAGTGCCCCTTCACAAGAAACCCCAGAGATAACCTTGGCTGCTCATGTAACCCTTCGGTAAGTATCATCAAGAAGCTCGGTCCAGTATGTATGCATAGCATGTGCTGTAGAAATACTTAATAATCAAGTTAGAATGTAGGAGTGGGGGTAGGTAAACATATATTTTACTTCTAGAAGGCACATGCAGAACTTTTGTAATATATCTATTCTCTTTCTAGTTTTTGCATTTTCAGCTCTTTTTTTACTTGCTTGGTGCTATGACTTGACTTGGGTGCAGGTGTGGAGAAGTCTGGCTCAGTCCTTGAGCATCCTGAGTTAGGGCATCTGTGCTGTTACTCTAGTAGTGAGGTCATGAGAACATAGTAAACCAATCGCTGTATATATCTTTTTAAAAATACAATTCAGGTTATTTAAATGTAGGAAGAAAAAATATCTTTTTTTGAAATGAATATGTGACATATGAATATATTACACTGTCCCTTTTCACTTCCATGTTAATATATCATTGTAAAAAGATAAAAATACTAGACAAGTTATGAACAAAATTGATAAAATCCACAAATATAGCGATTTAGAGAATAGTTTATGCTTTACCTTTTGTTTTATACTTGAGTTACACTAGAAGAAAGACTGTTGGAGTATATGGATAAGAATTATAAGGCAGCAGTCATATTCTTATTTTTTAATTCCTGGTGTGATGCTTATGCTAACAATTTTTGCAGCTATCATTCCTTTCCTTCTGTCCTCCTCATCAAAAAAAAAAAAAAAAAGTCACTTCTGGCTTGCGTGGTGGCTCACACCTGTAATCCCAGTACTTGGGGAGACCGAGGTGAGAGGATTGCTTGAGACCAGGAGTTCAAGACCAGACTGGGGAACATAGTGAGACCTCTGTCTATATAAAAAACTAAAAAAATTAGCTGGGCATGTTAGCATATGCCTGGAATCCCATTTACTTGGGAGCCTGAGGTAGGAGGATTGCTTGAGCCCAGGAGGTCGAAGCTGCAGTGAGTCATGATTGCACCACTGCACACCAGCCTGGGTAAAAGAGTGAGACTCTTGTCTATAAAGAGAGAAAAAAAATCCACTAATACAAGACTATTGTAAATGATCTTTGTTCTATGTTGGATTAATCAATCAATAGCATTTCTATGTTACAAAAATTAAAATATGTCTCTCAGTCCTTAAAAATAGTTTATGACCTTTTTTAGATTTTGCCAATTGAGGATTTTCAGACACAGTTTAATCTGACTGCAGCAGAAGGTAAGGCATGCTACTCTCAAGCGTGGAATGTGAAGCAGGCTTTTTCTCAACACTGTGAAATGCAGAGAACTGGTTTGGGGGCATTATTTGAGAATAACCAATGAAATGAAGGGAGTTCTGGAGGACCAGCTGATGAAACATAGAGATTTATTTGCTTGACAGTTTAGACTGTTAGGCATAAGGAAAGAAGAGATATTTTGCAATGGATATTGTATGGAACATATTTAGTGGAAGCTGAATCACACTTTATGAACATGATGGAAGTATTCTGAAATTTTTGATGACTTCCCTAAGTTGATAGAGCCTCAGATTCCCATTTGAAATACCTAAGTTTCTGTCTCACCTGGTTCTTAACCATACAAGATTATAAATGTATTTATTGATCTAAAGTTATTTCTTCATCCCTTTTGACTAAAAATAAAAAATATAAAGACAGCTGATGAAAGTTTGCACTTATGACTTGAATGTTCAGGGTCACCATAATATATTTTCTCATCCTTAAGTTACTTGGCCTACATTTTTTTTTCTATTGGAATAAAGGATAAATTCTGCATTAATTCTGATGTAAGCTTGTCTGTATAAAATCCTTATGTAAATGTTAGAATTAGAAAAGTCTTTGATATCCCCAAGGTGGCAAAGTATTGTGGTGAATGATGGCACTTTCAGAACTGAGTAGACTCAAGTTTGAATATGAGCTTAGATACTATATATTATGTGGAACATATAATATGAAGTATTCCCTGTCAGCTGCTGTTTCCTCATCTGTAAAATGGGCATATAACCTTAATTCATAGGGAAATGTAAAAATCAGTTATATGATGTGTACCAAGCACTTGACATTTGGAAAAAGGGCAATAAATAATATCTATATTGTTATTATTTAATATAGTTTAGTCTCATAATTTCTTTTCTGTACTTCTGCTTTCCAAGTATACATATCATCCAAAAAACTTGCTTTCTGGAGTGTGTCCTAAAGAATAAGTAACTAAAATAATACTACATAATTTTTAGTAATATAACTTTGAATTAACTGGAATATTTAGCAATTTCATATAGTGTCCTCTTGGTATCTCAATATTACATTGACTTTAGAATCTTTATAGGCAAAAATTACAGTGAACCTCACTTGTCTTCTTAATTGTTTATGCTTCTATTCTTTATAATTAGTTTTTTTAAATAGTCCAAAGTAAATCTTCAATATGGTCAAGTAGAGGAAACGATTAGATGAGTGTATCACACCGTATATTATCATATAATGTACACTAACTACATTTATTTTTATCCTGTGACCCAAGAGAAGATTATTAAGCATGAAACTTTACCCTATGGAAGACCCAGAGTTCTCCAGAAGAAAAACACCATCTGTCTTCTTTCCCAGCGCCAGTTTATGAGTGGATACAGCCAAGACATCTTAATGCCCCTTTGGACATCCTATACCGTGGACAGAAATGCAAGTATTTGTCACCTCTTTCTCTATGTGTGGCTGTTTCAAATGAACGATTAGGCAGAACATTGACTGCATAGTTTCTCACTGTTAACCTTGGCTTTATCCTCAGTTTCCACATTAGAGGAACACTGAACAGGGAGTCAGAAAAATTACATTCCAGTTCAAGCTGTGCCACGAAGCAGCTGCCTGACTTTGAGAACTCAGACCAGATTTCTTCTGTGAAATGAGGGTTGTGTAGTAAAGAATTCTCTTTTGCCTCCCTGCCCCCAGTTTTGATATTTTATGATTTTGATTTATAATTGCATGAAATCAGCCTTAGGACCAGTCATGGTTATCCATTTCTAAATACGTGGCTATGTGAGGGCAAGTGTTTCCTTCAGCTGCTCAAATCTAAGAGGGCCTCACTGTTTGGCAAAGCTGTCATTATCACTCAGTAAATTCATTACAAGACATCTATAGGAAGACTCACCAGGGAGAAGCCAGAATCCCACCCACCACCAACACCAGAGGAGGTAGGACTTGAAAGGAGTGAGGGCAAATATCTCAAAATAAGAGCAGCCTTCCCCCTTACTTGTGGCCTCCCAGGTGCTCTGGTAGAAGGAGGAATGGTGAAGGCGATGGTCCTAGAAAGAGAAGGGGGAAGAGATGAGATTGTGATCTTACGAGGAATAAAATTTTAAACTGGGCTGAAACTGAAAGTGACAGGAAGGTATGGAATGCCCCAGAGGGAAGGACAGAGGGATTTGAGAGAGCATCCTTGAGGGCAGCTGTTGAATTTTAAAAATAAAACTATTTACTAATCAGTGAGACTGCTAAATAAAAAGACAGGGATACGTGTGTTTATATATAATTTCTATGTTAAAAATATATGATACCCACATATATTTATATAAAGTTTCTTGAACTTTGATCTTTAAAATTTTTCAAGACTGTCTTTAAATACCAAACATTTTTTGATTTTGTAATTGATCAGTCTACACCATTTTTTATAGGCACCTCATTCTGTTTATTAATATTTATACCTGAATTATGGTGCTCCTTGATTCCATTTTGTTTTCTTCTACAATTAAAAAGCGTGACTTTACAGTCATCGTGATGCTTGAGGTTTTTCCATTGCTGTTCAGTGACTGCCTCCCTTGCCCCACCAACTTTTGGCACTGTAGTTGGCTGTGGAAGATAGACTCAGATGTCTAAAAATCAACATTTTACTATGTAAGAGCTTAAAATTATATAGATCAAAACATTGTAAACATTATTTCGTATTAGCACAGCAGAATCTGAAGATATTTGCACATATGTGACAATTAGTATCTTTAATATTGTGAAGGATTTTTACACTTTAGTTAGAAAAAAAGGTGAATATACTAGTAGGAAAATGGGAAAATAGTGAAGGACATGACCTGACAGCTGGAACTGCGTAATTTCATGAGGTAGTTCACCTTTCAGTATTAATAAAGCGGTTTCCTTTTCTGTGCCTGATATGTGAGAGTTCTTTTTCATTTTGTTCTTTAGGACAGTTTCTCTACAGAAGACTTTTCTAACTGTCTCTACCAGGACTTTAGAATTTCCCTTAGTCCTGTTCATAAATGTTCATTTTATAAAAATAACACCAAAGTGAGTTACGGGTTCCTCTCCCCACCACGTAAGTTCCTTTCTCTCCTGACCGTCCCTTTTCTTACCCTCTTCTCTTCCTTTTCATTTGCTTTCTTGTTTATCCTACCATACATTATAGGGGAATATATGTAGCTTTGTTTATTTGTTGGTGAAAAACTGTGAATTTGGTCTATAACTACCGAGGAGAAAATTTTAATCATCTAAAACTTGAATTTTATAAAACTGTATTTTTGTTGGGAGGGTGGTTGATTCTGTGCAGTTACAATAGGCAGAACACTTTATATTTCCCTTCTGCATTTCTTTTAAACAGAATTAGAGAAAACTTTAAAGTTGGAAGAATATATCAAGACTTTTAGGAAGAAGATCTAACTTTGTTGTTTAAAAAGAAAATGCGATTGTCAGAGAACTGGGTAAAGGTAGAGGCTTAAGTATGCTTGCATTTTCACTGATGCGGAACCTCTAGGGAATGGTTTTTTTTTGAAGCTAAGGTTTCTGTTTTTTGAAATGGCAAATTTGTATGTTGATGAGAAGCCATTTTGGGGCCAGCCTTAAAAGGCAAACATCAGAAAGCTCCAGGTACTCCAATACCATCAGCATCCAGTTCATTCCCAGAGTATGTGTCTGAAGTCAGAACCTGGCTATTGCATTGTAAAAATAGACCAGGCCCAAGCCTCAAGTTCATACAGAAAAGACTTGTATGGCATTTCGAGACAGACATTCTGTGATGTTTTTTCTGGTTAGCAGGTGTTGTTCTAGAGCCAGATGTTCTCTTTTTTGTTTTCACTATGAAAAAGTTTAAGGAAAGAAGATTGTCAGCCCAATTCCTTTTAGTTGAAATAAGGCTAATCAAGTTTGAATATGTTTAATTTGGAGCTCTTGTTATTAAAGTTCCTGTTTCTTTAAAACATCTTGTAAAGACTTTTATTTTTTAAAGGACTTGAGCAAACACACTACATTTTCCCTTGACCCAGTACCTGGGAAAGTTTTACAGGTTTAAGATAGTACTCAACTAGTTTTTAAAAATGTTCCCTCTACCATGAGATATCTAATTTGTCCTCTTTTCTCCTTGTAGAACTACATAAAAATTCAAGTGGAATATATTCTGAAGCTTTGCTTACTACAAATATAGTGCCAATGTACCAGAGTTTTCAAGGTAAAAAATGTTAACTCTATATTTGATAATTTTAATGAATTTCTGCACATATAGGCATAATTCATTTGTAATAGGACTTATGATCTAAATTAAATGAATTAATACCAAATATATTCTTAAAGGTTTGTTTATCTTTGAGAATACTAGTACACAAAAAATCTACAAATATTAGAATTATCGTATATTCCAGTATCCATTCTGCTTTATATTTAAGTGTTTGTAAACATTTTTGGTAAGAAAGTATGTGATGTTCTTCCTAAACTTATCAGGCTAATACAGTCTGCTAACACTTATATTAATTTTCATTTGGCTTTCATGCTTAACTTTTTGGCAGCTCTTGATAATTGTTTTTGTTTTCAAATGAATAGCTTTTATATCATCATTAACTATTGCAGCATTTGACTTTTACAGCAATAAAAATAGTCACACTTAATTGATGTATAGAATATCAAAATATAAGCATGTAAGAAGTTTTTAGTCTAATTTATATCTAGAATATTTGTGAATATTTCAGCAATATTAATATTAATATTAATATTCAGCTATTAATAGGAAATCTGAATAATATACCTCGTTTGTGTCTGTGATCTTGCTGTGCTTTAGTGATGACAATGATCACAATTTCAGCATGATGCACTTGTTCAGTAATGCCTCAAATAGAGTTGAGCTCAACATTTGTCTGTGAGTTGTTTCAAAGGCCAAAGCTGAACAATGAATTTTTGGCCCAACACTAAGATTGGAGCCAAGGCTGGGTATGGTAGCTCATGCTTGCAGTCCCAGCACTTTGGGGAGGCCAACTCGGGAGGACTGCTTGAGGCCAGGAGTTCGAGATCAGCCTGGGAAACAGTGACACCTAGTCTCTAGTCTCTACAGAAAATTTTAATTAGCTGAGCATGGTGATGCACACCTGTAGTCCTAGCTATTCTGGAGACTGAGTCAGGAGCATCTCTTGACCCCAAGAGTTTGAGGTTGCAGTGAGCTATGATTGTGCCATGCACTCCAGCCTGGGTGATACAGCAAGACCCTGTCTCTAAACAAAGCAAGACAAAGACTGAAGCCAAACTTGACATTATTTATTATAAATGCTAATTTTGAATCATGGTGTTAATTTATTTCACATGACAACATGGTACTACCTTGTTCTTCTGAAAGTACACCGTCTTCTATTTTGTTTCAGTTATATGGCGCTACGTTCATGACACCCTACTGCGAAAGTATGCTGAAGAAAGAAATGGTGTCAATGTCGTCAGTGGTCCTGTGTTTGACTTTGATTATGATGGACATTATGATCCTTCAGAGATTCTGAGGCAGTAAGAACATACTTCATTACTCTCAAAAATGGGTATCAAATGGGATTACCATCCAGTTGAGTCAACAGAAACTTTTTTATTCAGTGTCATGTATTTATGTGTATGACACTGCTGACTACACAGGAAGGCTCTTGAAATATCTGATTAATGTTGACGTTTTGCTCAATGTTCAATAAAATATTTTTAGATGAAAGAAGTAGTGTTTCTCACCCATTCAGTTCAGTTGAATAATTTTTTAGCTCAGTTTAAATGTTCAACTCAGTGCTTAAGATCTGTGTGGCTGATTGTTAAGGTATGATCTTAATGATACTGTCAGTCAGAAGATGAAGAATTCTGTGGTTGACTACAGGTATCCTGAGTCTAGGAATGAATAGGGTTATAAAGCTATAGTGCTTGGAGTCTGGTGCCCTTGGGGGTGAATGGTATGGTTTTTACTCAACTCTGGCTGGAGGGGCATGATACAAAGCAACCATCTGGAGGAAGCCATCAGTGGTGCTTTTTTAAAAAAAAGAGAGGGAGAGAACATTTTAGAAACTGATTGATCTTTATTAAAACAATACAGTGTTTTTGGAAGCAATTCTGCTGTTAAGTCTGTAGGATAAAGACTGAGATTCAGCCCCTCTCAGAACTTTCCTACTCTCCCAGGCTGACTTAGATATATGTGACTTACAAAATATATCAGAAAGCACATCAGTTTGTAAAGTTACAGATCTTGCTTTCCTTTGAGGCATATACACTGTAGCACTAGAGTGGATAAAGAAGAGAACCGCATGTGCTCCCTACCCACGGCTTCACCCAGAGCCCTCTGTTTAAATCTGTTTTATAGATTATGATTCTACATAAGGTCATATTTGAAAACAATGATCCCACTACCTTAAATTTTGAAAGATGCTGAAAAAAAAAACAAACACAGCCTTAAAACAAAAGGAAATAAGAGAATGACTATGAGGTAAAGATGTTTGGGACATCTTTGGTAATATACTGTAGTTAAAAAATTAAGTTTTGAAGATAAGGAAGAAAATCCAGTTAAAACAAACAATTCATGACAACACACCTCCCTGAAGAAGCTAATATAAAAAAATCCCTAACCAGTTCTTTCTCTGCCCACTGTTTGTCTATAATGGCCTAGAAGTTAAGACTATCAATAATGGGCGTAGGTGTTAAAAAATGATCTTTTCTTTAGTGTTTCAATTTCAGTGTCTTTAGGTAGTACTTAAAGAATTCCAAAAGTCAATAAATTTCTACAGAAAATAATAAGTATTTGGACTGTGTTTATCTGCCTGTCTTCTAATTATTACACTCAGTCTGGCAGAATATGTTGAGTGACTGTGATTACTAGCTTCTTATATTTAATTATTTGTTGGAATTTGATTTTTATATGTATTAAAAACATCCTCCACTGAAATATTCATCAAGAAAAAAGATAGTTATTTCTTTCTTAAAATGAATATTGGCATATTTTACAGAAAAAGAAGAGTCATCCGTAATCAAGAAATTTTGATTCCAACTCACTTCTTTATTGTGCTAACAAGCTGTAAAGATCCATCTCAGACTCCTTTGCACTGTGAAAACTTAGACACCTTAGCTTTCATTTTGCCTCACAGGTCTGATAACAGTGAGAGCTGTGTGGTAAGTAGCTTTTGTATGTTTACTTTGCATATTGAAAATCTAAGCATATGCATATTTGTTTGTGTCATTTATCTGACATTCCAGTGAGAGAAGACACAGCACTTGAATACACATGGACTTTGAAATTACAGGATGCCTTAAAATTTGATCCTTTAAGATGACATATCTTTGGGGAAGACTACCCTCTTTGTTTTTTTTAGTACCTTTTTTTAATATTAAAATAATTCTAATTTGCATGTTTGTAGGCTGTTCTGGAGAGTCGGGAAATGGGGGACCTGATCCGGGATGGCTTTCCATAAGGCAAGGATGGGAGAAAGCCCTTGCCCCCTGGGAAAGTGCTGAGTGCACTTTGCTGCCAGAAACAAAGGATTCCACGTGCCATTCAAATACCCCTTGAAGGGCGTGAAACCCTTCTGGGCCTCTAAACAATCTAAAGAACTGACTTGGTCTAATAATCTCACCCATCCCCAACTCAGAGTCTGGTTTGAACTTTGATTCCTTAGTAAGAGGCATGGGGTGGAAGGTGGGGGTGGTACAGAGTGTCTGCATTTTTCATTTTCTTTCTTTTCTCTTTTTTTTTTTTTTTTTTTTTTTTAAAGGTAGGGTCTTGCTTTGTTGCCCAGGCTTGTCTTAAACTCCTGGCCTCAAATGACCCTTTTACCTTGGCCTCCCAAAGTGCTGAGATTGCAGGCATAAGCCACCATGACTGGCCCCTTTGTCTGGTAAAGATATTAAAAATCAGATCAGAATAAAACTTTTTATGGCTTAACCACTAAATTCTAGGTTTATCTGAAGTATGGATTTTCTCGTATTTCAAAACTGGATTTATAATTTCAGAATATCAGCACTGTTATAAATCACTCTTCAAGTTAGACAACATTTCAAATTTTCTATATATCACTTAATTAAAAATCTTATCCTTTCTTATCCTCTTGTCATCCCAGTGTGTTTGGGAATAATGGTTTTATATTATCAATTTTTAAAATGTACATTGTAGATTTGGACATCAAGACTGCATAAAAGTTTAGCAATTTTTTTTTTTTTTTTTTTTTTTTTTGAGAAGAAGTCTCACTCTGTCATCCAGGCTGGAGGGCAATAGTGCAACCTCTGCTCACTGCAACCTCCACTTACTGGGCTCAAGTGATTCTCCTGCCTCAGCCTCCTGAGTAGCTAGGACTATAGGCACTTACCACCAAACCCAGCTAATTTTTGTATTTTTAGTAGAGAAAGGGTTTCACTATGTTGGCCAGGCTAATCTCGAACACCTGACCTCAGGTGATCCGCTGGCCTTGGCCTCCCAAAGTGGTGGGATTACAGGCATGAGCCACTGCACCCAGCCCATTTTAGCAATTTTTAAATTTTCTCATATGATGAGCCAAAATATTTTTCTTTCAGAGTACTTCCCACATTTCCTATTTTTTTTCCATTGAAGTGACACCAAGTCAGTCTAGACCTGAATCTGCAAAAAGATTTAACTTTCATACCAGTTCCAATGGATGGGTTGTAGGTAACTGGAGTTAGGATCTTGAGACCTAGTATGACTCAGCAGCTGCATTCACTCATTCATTCACTACTTCTTCAATTCAGCCATTCATTCATTCCTCTGATATTTATAATCAGGTGCTGTAGATACTGAGGACACAGAAGGGAACAAAACAGTGAGCCCAGGAGTATAATACAAGTATAATACAATGCACCATTTGCCATCCCTGATGTGGTAGTCTTTCTGTGTATCATTAAAATTCATGAAGATATGTCTCTCCTTAATGGCTTCTATGGTAAAGTTTCAGAATTACTTTTTCCTATAGAACACATTTCTCATCAAGTTATTTTCCCCTTATTCTTCAGAATTAAATACAGAATAGCAAGACTTTAACTAGTTGGCTGCCTGATGATTGTCTGACTCTGCTCAAAGTTGTCAATATTGTGAGCATTCTTGGACACATGCAGCTATTCCTTCTTCATTATTTTCTTTCCTTTGAGAGATTATATTGTCATTGAATGTATCAGTTAGAGTAGAGTTCCGCAGCAAATAACAGAAACCCCTTTGCAGTGGCTTAAGCAAGTCAGGGGTTCCTTCTGGAACAGGAAGTCCAGCTGTACACAGTCCTTGGATGGCACTTTGGGTCAGCAGCACGATTAGGGACTCAGAACTTTTCCCTTTTTTTGCCCTACCTTTCTTAGCATGTGGCTTTGGCCCACTTGGGCTGAAGAGCGGCTTCTGCTTCTCTAATATCATATCTCAGTTCTGCCCCCAATTCACCTGAAAAAGAAGGCAGCCACAGGCATGTGCTTACATCTCATTGAGCAAAGTGATGTCAAGTGCCATGAGTTAGGCATTGAGTTCCTTTCCCAACTCCAGCATTCCCAGTGCTATTATGCCACTACTGTAATGAGAACATTAATCAAATTCTACAATGGCACTGTGCCTAGGAGATACTAAATATTGAACTTGAGCCAGTGAAGGGATTGTTTTAAGGTATATCGTACAAACGTATTGATTCCTCTGTTTCATCTCTTAAAGTAATGACTAAGGATTAGTTGGAACAGATGCCTTGAATGTACTTTTTAATCTGTTCCTCTGAATGTTGGAACAGATGGCAATTATTGTCTGGTCAGGGAGTCCACTGAGTCAGGAATGTTCGCCCTTAGAGCTAGAGTAAGGATTGTTACAGAGAGGGAGACTGAGTATGGAGTAGTGGGTGGTTGGAGGCTAATGGGAAAACAGAGGTTGTTGGTCTGTTTTATATGTGAAATATCTGTGTTTATCATTTTCAATGAGTAATGTCCCAAGAGTTACATGAACCTTTATTAAGAATGCCTTTAAAGTACAATCATAGCCCATGGACTAATGGATATATTCTTTGTCTAACTTTCCCCAGTGGCTAATTTCAGGAAAAATTAAGCTAACACATGGATGTGTGATTCCCATTCCTATTGCCTGCTTCAGTGACCACATTTCCTTCCATTTGCCAGAATATCAGTCTTTAATTCTTTTCAGATCTCATATCATTTAAGACTTTACCATCTCACCAGAAATGAAACTGTGCTTTACCACTTCCTCCAAGCCCATCTTCATGCATCTGTATCGATAAAACATTCTCATAGGAAGTAGTATTTGTGTAGTACATTTGCACATATCATTACATTTGATCCTCAAAACAGCCCGATGAGGAGGATACTGATACAGGAATCCAGATTTGTATGTTAAATAACTTGCCTTCGTTTACCTGGTAGATAGTCACAGAACCAGTCTCTTTTTAAAAATTTTCCAACTTTTATTTTAAGTTCAGGGATATGTGTACAGGATGTGCAGGTTTGTTGCATAGGTAAACGTGTGCCATGGTGGTTCTCGGCACAGATGATCCCATTACCCTGTTATTAAGCCCAGCATCCAATAGCTGTTTTTTCTGATATTCCTCCTTCCACCCCCTGCTCTCCAACAGGCCCCCAGTGTATGTTGTTCCCCCACATGTGTCTATGTGTTCTCATCCTTTGGCTCCCTCTTATAATTGAGAACATGTAGTGTTTGGTTTCCTGTTTGCTAAGGATAATGGCCTCCAGCTCCATCCATGTCACTGCAAAGGACATGATCTTGCTCCTTTTTATGGCTGCATAGTATTCCATAGTGTGCATATACCACATTTTCTTTATCTAGTCTATCATTGATGGGCATGTAAGTTGATTCTATGTCTTTCCTATTGTGAATACTGCTGCACTGAACATATGTGTACATGTATCTGTATAACAGAACAATTTATATTCCTTTGGGTATATTCACGGTAATGGGATTGCTGGGCCAAATGGTATTCCTGCTTCTAGGTCTTTGAGGAATTGCCACACTGTCTTTAGTTCATAGTGGTTAAACTAATTTACACTTCTACCAACAATGTAAAAGCATTCCTTTTTTCCACAACCTTACCAGCATCTGTTGTTTTTTGACTCTTTTATAGTAGCCATTCTGAGAACCAGATTCTTTACATTCATTCCCATATTCTTTCTATCATGCCATGGAATTTGTTTTCTCACTTTTTTTTTAATCCCACACCATTGAAGTTGCTTAAACCCATGTAATGCGTGATCATCTGTTCCAAGTATATATATTTTTTCCAAACTTATACAACTAATTAAACAGACATGCATGGTATGTATTAGAAGGACAGCTACTCAAGAGGAGAGATAATGCCTAACAAATCATGTGGCATGTTCCACTTCAGAGCTGAAATCTCATAAATGATTAAACTGGGGAGATGGAGCGCTTATAGAGGTGAACTGAGTGTTCTCTTGGTAACTTTTCTTTTATATTTCCTATTCTCCTAGCATGGGAAGCATGAATCCTCATGGGTTGAAGAATTGTTAATGTTACACAGAGCACGAATCACAGATGTTGAGCACGTCACTGGACTCAGCTTCTATCAACAAAGAAAAGAGCCAGTTTCAGACATTTTAAAGCTGAAAACACATTTGCTAACCTTTAGCCAAGAAGACTGATATTTTTTTAATTCCCAAACACCATAAATCTTTTTGAGAGAACCTTATATTTTATACAGTCCTCTATCCACACTATTGCGTTGTTCAGAAACTATCGACCAGAGTTAGAACGGAGCCCTCGGTGACACGGACATCTCAGGGAAACTTGCGTACTCAGCACAGCAGTGAGAGAGTGTTCCTGTTGAATCTCGCACATATTTGAATGTGTAAGCATTGTATACATCGATCAAGTTTGGGGGAATAAAAACAGACCACACCTAAAACTGCCTTTTTGCTTCTCTTAAGGGAGAAGTAGCTGTGAACATTGTCTGGATACCAGATATTTGAATCTTACTGTTGGTAACAAACCTTGATGTATTGGGCAAACAGTAGATTTATCGGTAGGATTGGGGTAGCCCATGTTACGTGACTATCTTTATGAGAATTTTAAAGCGGTCAGGATTTCTTTTAACTTGGAGTTTCATTTCTTTTCATTTTAATCAGAAAAAAAAAAATTAACAGAAGCCAAAATACTTCTGAGACACTCTTTCAATCTTTGTTGTATATCCCCTCCAAAGCCAAATTATTAACCTTGGGTTTTTGTTTTTCCTTTTTTAATTTTTTTGATTGGATTTTTTTAGGTTTAATGATTCAAATGAGTTCAACTTCAAGGAAAGATCTTTGGCTATACTTACCTATTATAGTCTTACTCTGTATTAAAAAATATATATATTCCCATCTTGCTTACTGGTAATTAACATAGGTTTAAAATTGCTTTAAGTGTGGCCCTTTAGACTGCTAAAATTGTATCTTATCTTGGCAAAACTTCAGAGCACCGGTCAGCACATGCAAGGTGCCATTTTTTACTGAGATGGTGGGAGTCTTTCTCTCCGCACAAGACTTCCTCTAGCAGCAACAGAGCTGTTCTCTGTTGAGCGGTTCATTTTGAAGTTCCATAGTTTAAAGAGAACATGTCACCAATCACCTCACATCTTCTTGGTGGACATGAAAAATGAACAATGACCTTGATTACTACCTTGACTGTACCTTTTTGTCCCTACCTGTGAGCCATCTAAGATTTCATTAACTTTTAGGCTACCTAGCTCCAATTTAGGTATAATTTTAGTACACCAAAGATTTTTATATGTTCTTCATATGACCATTCTTCAACAACCTAAAGGCCAGCTGCAAAGACCTTTGAAAAATACAATTTGCAACTGAAAATTATGTAATAATTTAGGAAGTTTCATTTTTTTTTTTTAAGTCCTGCAGTTTCCTCAGGCTCTGTATATTTTTTTCAGTCTGTTTTCTCTGCTGTTCAGATTAGGTAATTTCTATTCTTCTGTCTTAAAGCTCACTAATTCTTTCTTCTGTCTAATCTGTTCTGCTGTTGAGCCCATTTATTCCTGATTTTTATATTTTAGTTATTGTATGTTTTATTTCTAAAATTTCCATTTGGTTTTTCTTTATATGTTCTATTTGCTTAGACTTTCTGTCTCTTTGTTGAGACTTTTTATGTTTTTATTTGTTTCAAGTGTGTTTATATTTGCTTGTTGAAGCATTTTTATGATGGCTGCTGTAAAATCCTCATCAGATAATTTCAACATCTGTCACCTCATTGTTTGCATCTGCTGATGGTCTTTTTTCCATTCAGAAAGATTTGCCTGTTTCTTGGCATGTGGAATGATTTTTGATTGAAACCTAGATATTTTTAAGTATTATGTTATGAAACTGTACATCTTATGTAAATCTTCTGCTTTAGTCAAGTTTCTCTGATACCACCACAGCAGGGGAATTGGGAGCACTGCCTCATTATTACCAGGTATGACTTGGAGTCCAGGTTCCCTTCTTAGCCTACCTTGACACTTGGAGTGACAGGGTCCCCTTGTTACGGCTGGGCAAGGTGAGAATTCAGTTTCCCATTAGGCCTCTATTGATTCCTCCCTGGCAGGGATGTGCAGGGCACCGTTTGCTGCACCCTGGGAATCTCTACGGATGCTGTGGGATAGGAGTGACCAGGAAGGGCTTTATTACACCAGGTGGGAATGAAATTCCCAGTGGCCTATACAGGTTTCTCCAGCACCGCTCTGGTAGGAGAGTTGGGACACCTCTTTACAGCTTGGTGAGAGTGTAGATCTAGGCTCCTCACTCAGCATTTCCTGGTATGGGTGGGGCCATGTTTTTTCCATGGTGTTTGGTTGGAGTAGAGCCGTCTTTACTCTTGCTTGGCTACCCTTTCTGGTCCTTTGGCAGGAGAAAGAGCATGGGACTCTTTTAGGGATTTTTCTTTCCCCTGCATTTGTTGACATTTCCAGGTTGCTGACTTTTTCAGCTCCAAGTTGGAAATATTTGAGCTGAAAAGAAAACGCAGGGAACTCATCACAGTGTTGTTCCTTGGGCCCCAATGTTCCTAGCCTGTCTATTTTCTCTCTACTGTTAAGAGTCTTGCTGTGTTTTATTATAATATCCAGGATTTTTGTATTCATTTAGCAGAAGGATATCTACTCTGTCCTTGTAGAAGTGTCTCACTGATTTTTATATACTCTTCCAGCACACAAACATACACAATTTAACTCAAAGCATCTTAGCAGAGCTTAATTAAATGGATAGATGCCTGTTCCCTTTGCTGGACACCAAGAATACAGAAAAGAACAAGTGACAGTTTTCACCGTCTTAGGGAAAAGATGCAGCAGAAGTGTGAATGATCCCTAAAGAGTGATAGATGTTACCGTGAAGCCACAGGAAGGGTACCAGGCAGCACAGAAGACACATTGGATGCCTCTTAGTAGTAGAGGCAGTGGCTTCCCAGCCTGGGGCTAAGGCTTGAAGGGTGAATTGGAGCTTTTCAGATGAGCAAGGCAAAGAAGGGACCTTCTAATATTCCTTGGATGGATACATTTTTAACATTTCCTCATTTATAGCTACCTATATTTTCTACAAGTGTCACTGTGACCAACTTATGTACAAATAGTTTTTCTTGCTTTGTTATAATAACCTGTTCTTAAAGAAAATGTCAGACTCTACATTCTTTTTTTTTTTTCTGAGGCGGAGTTTCGCTCTTGTTACCCAGGCTGGAGTGCAATGGCGCGATCTCGGCTCACCGCAACCTCCGCCTCCTGGGTTCAGGCAATTCTCCTGCCTCAGCCTCCTGAGTAGCTGGGATTACAGGCACGCACCACCATGCCCAGCTAATTTTTTGTAGCTTTAGTAGAGACGGGGTTACACCATGTTGACCAGGATGGTCTCGATCTCTTGACCTCGTGATCCACCAGCCTCGGCCTCCCAAAGTGCTGGGATTACAGGCTTGAGCCACCGGGCCCGACCCCAGACTCTACATTCTATGCTGACTCTTAAGGAAGGGCCCCCCACATCTGCTCCTACCTAGCTTTTTTTTTGTGATTTTTACACAGTATTCCTTTTTTCTTTTCTTTTCTTGAAAGAGACCCCTCCTTTTGCCATTTTATCAGTTTCAATCTGTTTTTTAAAATCAGTCTAAATCTGATAAAATGGTAAATGTGACTGATCTCTACTTCCCCAATTTGAATGATAAATTCCCATTTACCATTCAAAGTAGGATAAATTCCCATTTACCATTCAAAGTGGGATAAATGTCTTTATCCTACTTTCTTCAATAAAGGGTGTTCTTTGCTTTTCAAATGCAAAGTGAAACCTTAATTTATCCTGAATTTTACTGCCATGCTTCAAGTCAGTACTTCTTAAGTGAGGTAAGTAACCTCCATAGAAAAGTTCTATCAGTTCATTCATGAAAGAACAAAGAACCTGGAAAAATATAAGAATATTTTCTAAGAATCAGAGAACAGAGGACAAACCTTAGGGAGAAGAAGGCAGAGGCTCATGTTCCGGCAGGGAAGTGACTGCATAGTCTACAAGGACTGTTAGGCCAGTTGGCCAGTCCTGTTTAAGGAGACAAGCTGGGTATGGAGCAGGGACCACCCTGTCCTCTGGGAAAGGTTGTTACCCCCTTCACTTTTCTTCTGTCATTACCCACAATCACTGTCCTCCTTTGCACTATGGTAGATGCTTATCCATCATGAATGGATATTTGAACTTTGAAACTGAATGTGGTGATTGCACTTCATGCTGAAGCTTATCACAGGGTGCTTTCATAAGCATTAAATAAAATTTTATAATGGCTGCAGTCCAAGGACATTTCCCTGGTTTTTGGCCAGTCTAAATATCGTAAGAGAGAGAGAAAAAAAGTGTACGGAATAGAGTTGTCTCTAAGGTAAGAAATGTGGATGTTCAAATAAAACATATATACAGAACCCTGGCTGCTTTCCTATGTGGCTATGTGTGTGGAGGATGGGCAGGGTCATGGGCGACAGTGCTTCTCTTCAGACATGAAACTGAGTCCAAGGGTTGTTGATGGTTAACCACAGCTGTATTGTTGGAAGGCAAAAAAATACAAAGTTCATTTCAGGTCATAGAGTAAACATTTCTGATCTGTGACCTATATCCTTGCTCTTGGTATTTTAGTTATATTTAATCATACTTCCAGGTAAAAACAAATGACCGGCACATACTTTAGGATTTAGAATGGTCTGGGACCAGACTTGGAACTTCCGTGGATTCTTTTCATGTGAAATTTTTGTATTTATCTTCTTCATTATAGTGATTGAAGAAAAAAAAATGTTTACTAGAAATCATATCTATACCAGAACTCATAGATAAGTGAACTATGTTTTAGTCTACAAGAAACGGAAGAACCTCTGAACGAGGCATTATACTCATGGGATGTCAAAAGGAAAGAACATAAAAGAAGCCTCTTTCATCCTACCCAATGCTGTTTTAAATTTAACTTTTTACTTGTCTGTAAATTCTCAATTCAAGGGATGATTTTAGGATTTTAATTAAAATGGCATATTTTAAATTATATGTCAGAAATTCAGAACTCAGAATGGAATATGCTTTGAGTTTCACATAGTAGAGATACAAAACAATGTAAGAAATATATAGGAAATACATGTTTTACAGTGTCTCATAGTTTTGCCCCACAATATTCAGATATTTTTCACTGTCAAAAAAATTTATGCATATACTTAGATGGCATTGTGCTGGCTGTGACATAAAGGAAATAAAACAGGGATCTCAGAAGTGAAAGTTTATAACTTACTAAAAACTCGAAAGGATTTTAAACGAGACTGAAATGTTCTCAGTCCAATGAATGGATCTTGTTCAAATTTTCACAGTTTAGAAAATCTCTGATGACACCTACCATTTTGGATTCTCTGTTTTATTCTATATCTTGACACAATGCCACTGTCTGTTTTGGAGAGTTACCCACTTACATTAAGGTCCAAACAGAAGCAAGATGGTAAATCGGTGGGTCCTTTGTCTGGGTACTTGTTCATAAGCTATCTCTGCAGTTTTACTCAACAGCACACTTTATTGGCACTGGAATAGATTTCCCCAGCTCAGGGTTGACAGTAGATTTCAAAGCTGCACTTACTTTTTGTCAGGCATTAGGGGTAAGTTGGAGAACAGGGCAGATGGGGTGCCTCCCCCTTTGGGGCTCTCTTGTCAATATTTGACCTTTATTTCAAGGTCCAGCCAAAAGCCATATCCGTAGGATCCATTGGTCATGTGATCAGACTTCGGTGGTCAACATTGAAGGTAACACACAGCACACGCCCTCAGTCTCGTTCTTGTTATGTATTATAGTTGCAGTAGAACTACAGATGT